AAGACCGTCCGAACAATCAAGACGACGGCCAAACAACTTCGAATCCAAGGATGTAACATTAAAATTCGATGGATCCCTGGCCACCAAAGTATCCAAGGGAACGACGAGGCGCATGCAGCCGCACGGGAACAGCTACAGGCATCCCTGCCCGGCCAAGGCTCAATTCGCCTCGTCGACAGAAATGACTCAATCGAAGAGACCGATCCGGCTGATCTGAAAGCACAAGAACGCGAAGAGAGAAGAAGACGTCTCAACGAACAGCTGCAACAAGACGAACACCCGCTTCCCTCGACGTCGTACAGCCGATGGGAGAGGGTGTGCCTGCGAAGACTCCGCACGGGAACAGCCATGACCCCAGCCAGAATAAACAAGTTTAAATGGAAAGACAACGAAGAAGACCCACAAGCCGGATTATGCGAAGAATGCCTTGTGCCCGCGGATACACAGCATATATTCTGGGACTGTCCAAGTAGTGCAGAAGAAAGAAAGAATGCTTTGGAGTCGCTCTCCCAGCCTGTGAGACCAAGCTGCCTGCAAGAATGGATCCTCCCGGTCGGCTGCCCCGAACACCGGAAGGCAATATTAGATTCCCTGATCGACTACATAAAGTCGGCAGGGCTTGTACATTGTATATAACTCCCTTCACCTTCCTCCCCTTCCTCCTGTCACCAATGTCTAGTTTCAAGGGCGACAGGCATCCCCCACCCTCGGTTCCACAAATAAAACATTTTCTCTCTCTCTCTCTCTATGGAATCGGTGTTGCCAACTTGCCAATGTCATACTGGTCATACCACAAACATCGTAAGTTACTATGTTCAAAGTTTCCCGCGTCCAAGTCGCGCCACGCCACACGCCAAGTTCTTCGCCGCAAGCACTCGTAGTAGTGCGGATAAGAATCCAACACAATCCGCACTCGGAGTGCGGATAAGAATTAAGAATCCACCACTGTCCGCACTCGGAGTCGGAGTGCGAATAGGGACAACCTGTTCATGCGTGAAGCATAGAGTAATATAGTAAACGTAAAGAGAGGACACAGGAGCCGATTCGCGGCCCAGATAGTGCGTTTCATACCCTCCGCTACGTGGCGCTTTTCTACAATTTGGTTAAAATTAATTAAAACTCGTTCAGTGAAAAGTATTTATTTTTTAAATGGCAATGCTTTAAAATTGTTTAAAGTACTTAAAACGACTAAATAGATTAAATCAAATACGTCACAAAAACCACGTGATGAATGGCGCCTGCCATGGCCTGCCTGCCTGCACGCCGTCGCCTCTGCATCATTCTGCATGGCCTCTGCTCGTCCCTGCGTCGTTCGTTCGTGCCGTGCGTGCCGTCCATCTGTGCCTTCTGCTGCATCATGTTTGGTCGACTTTGCATCAATCAAGGTGACGCATGACCGCCCGCGTGCTCGCATGCTCGGCGTGAATTCGTGGAGCCGATCGGTTCGAGCTTCTCGCGCTGTTGTTTCTGCCGGGCTGTCTGGCTGCACTTGAACGTGTGTGCATGTTGATTTTCGATGAGATTGTTTTCAAAAAAAAGAATTTAACTTACGACCTTGCACACGACATTGTCCATGGGTTAACAGATGACGGTGTTGAACGAACCTCTAACATTGCAGATAGAGCCTCGGTTGTTATGCTGTCTGAAATTTCCAGGAGGTGCGTTTGCACACACTGTTGTGCACACTCCGACAACGTCTTCTGTTTAACGCAGTCTCCTCATTTCTTTCATTCGGGAGCTTAAAGGGGCGGTGCAATGATATTCAATTGGAATGTTTTTCACTTTACACGAGCTTACTGGCACTAGTGGGACTCAAGGATACTCGCACGCAACGCCACTGACCAAGAAACTCCTCTGTTGCGCTGTAATTTCGAGGACAAAACCCAGTGTTTTTATTCAATCTCTTCTTCGAAAAACCTAATGACATAGCTGGACGGTAGCAGTACCGCCCAGTGACGATATTTGAATACGGCTCATAGATTGGACCCGAGCATGGCGTGGACACTCGATTTGGGCTCGTGATAATCGATAGCTCGAGGAACATTCGGGTAGTGTCCTGTGTCAAATCGCTGCAATGACGACAACAGCCGAACCATAACAATGTCTGGAACTCAGCGCGTGTCCTCTGCCTTGCCAACCCCAGCGCATGACTATGATCAACATTGGCGGCATATAATCGGCTCCAGATCACGGTGCCGCTTGTTCTGGCTGCGAGTTGAGCGCGTGAACTCTGCTCGTTTTTCCTTATTTTTTTCTGCGACTTCAATTGCGTGTGGTGAAAACGAACGGGTATGTTTTACGGATCATTAACGTCATGGATTCGTTCTAAGCGGTATTTGCGCAAAATACAAATATCAGTGCATCGCCCCTTTAAGGCGGTTGGCTTCACAGTAAAGGCTGAGGTCGGTAGTTAGGGGGCTTCAAACGTAAGCTTGGTGTATGTGGTGATAAGCCATTTTTTGAAGTTGACAACGAACACGTTTACTTTGTCTTTGATGTTCCGCACCTTCCCAAAACAACCAAGAGCAATCTCCAAGCCCACAAACTTTGCATTGGAAATGCGGTCATTGAGCGGTCTTCTATTGTTGAACTTCATTGTTCTATCCATGAGATTAGCTTGCAATTGACTCCGAAACTTACTGAGAGACATATTTATTCAAAAACCTTTCTGTAACATGGAAGAAAATTGTGCCCCACAGGTACTGAGTGCCTCAATCTTTCTTGTAATCATATCTCTTGTTTATGCAAAGGAACTTCCTGAGGCAGTCATGGCTACAGCCTATTTCTGTGATAGGATGTGCATACTTTTTGATTGTCTAAATAGCTAAAAAATTCAAAAAGACAGGGCAGAAGTTGCGTCATGCCATTCTGAAGGGAGAATCTCAAATACTTGATTTTCTCCACCAGTAACTCGGATGGATTTCAGCATGGCAGTTCCAAAGTAGGAGGCAGCCATAAGCCATCATTGGATGGCAAGTTACTATAAAAAGTGTCCTCATGCTCTTTGATGAGCTTTCAAGCAGCCATGACTTTAAGTTCTTACTTACACGACGCCCGCAGCAAGACACACTTGAGAACGTTTTTGGAGCTATATACGACAAATGCTGGGCTGCAACACAAACCCAAATGTGCATCAGTTCACCTCAGGACTAAAACACCTCTGGATAAAGAAACTGTTCAAACTGTCGGACAATGAAAACGTAGAAGATGACAAGGCTGACCTCCTAAAGGAGTTGCAAATATCTTCACACCATGAAAGTTTAATTTCAAACATTGTGGAATGTCTTCCAATTGATAACTTCCCGCCACTAGAGGATATTTCTGAGCTGGCATCAGAAATCAGGTCTAACATAATTGATGACTCGTCCACGTTTTTATTACGTTTGGGGCTATTTGATCAAGCTTTTGCTTGAACAGACAACTTACAGCTGTGGCTGTTCTCAGATGCTATCGGATGAGTCTAATAACTTGACCAGGCCTCACCAATACTGTCTTGTTCCTAAAGCATACCACGTGCCTGGAAAATTCTTCGGGAACTTAGTAGTACCATCACAGGCTGCCTTTCATTTCGTTCAGCAACTAGAAAATCACTTTCTTCCCATAATAGAGAGTGTGACACATGTTCGAGGAGTGTGTGCCGCCTTGTATAGCACACTTTGAGGTCTGGGTGGTTTTCGCCTTTGCCCAGAGGAGTACCACAAAGGGTTTTTAAAATTGTTTTGCAGAATACGCTTGTGTTGACATGTTTGATTTCTTAACCGGAATTAGGACAAAGTTTGGTTGCACTCTTCAGTGACTAGTAAGAACGAGACAGGTTTAACTGTTAATAGCGTATTAACAGAGGCGGTTGCCAAACCAAAAACAAAAAGTGATTAAGTGGGCGGTGCAGCTTGCTCTCGAAATGTTTGTTTCCCCTTTTTCCAGCGAATATGTATCACGGCTCTCTAACAAAAATATTTGTCCACTTTCTAAAAAAATTCGATAGAAAATAGTGTATAGAGGCTAACAATATCTGAAAGAAAATGTATCCACTTTTGTATCCACTGTCCATAGTTTTTTAGCCGCTTTTTTCTGAAGCCATATTTCTTTTCTGAACAATTTCGGGGAATATTTAGGGACGTTGAATCTTGTCAGATTTCGAATAGAGTTCTCATTGTTTGGTAATGGCTCGCCCGCAGTGAGTTTGAGGCTATGCAAATTGGTGTTTTTTATATTTGCCGGAAATTGGGAATTTGTACTATCCGGCGTATGCTTCGCACTGTTATTATACTGTTATGACTGGTAATGATAGCGATGTCTTATTTATTTTTGCACTTCCCGTACCCGAGTCGGCGTGAAAGTGAATGTATCATACAGCAAGTTCTCCGTGGAAGGGTTTTGTTAACATGGTTCCACTAAGAATCTATTGCAAAGTGTACGAATGCCAAAGTCCTTCATATTCGTTTATTTTTGTGAGTATCGATCTCTTTCGTATAAAACATACAGAGCTTCTGAAGTAAATCATGTGTACATGAATGTGGTCCAATAAAATGTGTTCGAATCACTTACTGTTGTTGACCCCAAAATGCTCCACCAGCCAGGAGTCAATGCGGTGATTGTGTAACTTCAATGCTTTACAATATAAAAATAACAAGAAATATATATACTTCTGCTTTGTGAAGTAAGTTGAAATATTGTTTGACACATTTTGCACGAACTCTATCGTAAAAAATAAAGCAAAAGTGTGTCAGTACTAAAAAAAACAAAAAAACAGCGGCTTCGGGAGTCAAGGTGCTCCCGAGAGATGAGCGAGGCGGGGAGGAAAAAGAAAGAGAAGGGTATTGGAGAACCGGAGCAAAAACGCGCAAACCGAAACCGAAACTAACTTGACCGGAAACGGAATCAGATTATACTTCATACCGCCCGCTAGGAGCGCTACCTGTCACTGGTCTATCTGGGCCGCTGGGGCCTATGGCAGTGTCCGCTCTTTACCTTGTGTATATTACTCTATGCGTGAAGTTAGACCGTTCGACGCCAAAACAACAGGGATACAACGGTAGATGCGGACAGGACGAGGCGCCTCGTCCTGTTTGCATTTATCCTTGTGTCCCTGTTGTATTGGCGTTTAAGTTTAAGCATGACGGACGGAGCCGACGGAGGAGCGACAAGCGGCGATGCCCGAGATCGTCGAGATGCGGAGTCCGCGAACCACCAAAGCGTGACATCCGCCTGATAACGCAGAGCACCGCTTGAGCAACTGTTCTGACGACGGAGAACGACATCAAAGGTGGAGTCTATCGAAGAGTCACCTTGCAAAGTGTTTGCGATCGCGGCGGTCGCGCTTGATTGTGTGGACGAATCGTGCTGGTCTTTCCTAACCGCGATGGGATTGTGTGGCGTACGAATTTGCAGTAATCGGTCCGAGCGGTCGAAGGGGTCGCCCACTGGTGTTTCGTTTCATCGGTGAGTGCGTTCACTCTTTGCTGATGAAACGCGTCATTAGCAGAGACATCTTTAGTTCACTAAATGACCACATGGTTGAGAACGAACCTATGGAGAACCACGCCTATCACCTCATGCGGTCTGTTGGACAGAAGTATCTGGACATCAGACAGCGAAGCATAAGCACGGTGTCCACAGATGAACTACACCAACAGAAAGTAAGGCGAAGTCACACCGAACTCGCACAGTTCAAAGGCCAGTGGCCATATATATAAGCCAGATTAAACAGATTACCATGTCTTCTGTCAACCTTGTAATTATGTTGTCCTTCTGAAGGGGTACCGCAACTAATTTATAAGTCAATGTTGTGTTGCAAATCTATTCCTATGCTGTAAATAAGTGTTCTATATATTGTTTTAATTTTCGAAGTGATTCTAATGTAAATAAAATATTTGAATTAAGACACTTCGAGACAAGTGGAACTAGGTTTTACTTGCGGTGACAAAATGAAGCCGCTTCAGCAAGGTAAGTTGACATCCCACGAGCACAGCAGGACGGGTATAGAGTTCACCATGATTCATTTTCATGCCTGTGTTGGATCTTCCGAATTTTCGGCCAGACACCTCGCATCGCTAAATCATTTCTCGTTGCCGAAGACATTGTGATAACAACGTCTGTTTTTGTGCGTTTTAAATTTTTTTTTTTTTTTTTTTTTTTTTTTTTGAGCAGCTTGGAAGAGAATGCTAAGGTGCACGGAAGGACCGCTGTCCAGGACCGGCTTGCTCGAATGCAGCGTCTCGGCTGAGACGGACTTAAAAAAGTACTGTCAAGGTTGGAGCGCGTGAGACGCGATTTAAGATTGAGTGCTACCTTTGACAGCGCTTTCTTGAGGCAGTCTCTGCTGAGACACTGCTTCTAGCGAGCCGCTCAACTTACATTACGAAGCCTCCTAGAGATTCACCAACGACGTAGGTGCACCGCGAAGAAGTGCTTTAGTTCTGAAATTCCACAGTTCATACTCTATTTGTAGCGGTCGAGAATTACAAGGCAAAAGAACAACAAGCAGATTCTACAAATCCGATACCCACCGTCTCAGCGCTCACTGCCTACTCCGTAAATACAAAGCAAAAGAACGGCAAGCAGACGCTACAAATCCGACAATCACCGCCTCCGCGCTCACTGCCTGCTTTGTAAATACAAGGCAAAAGAAAGACAAGCAGGCGCTACAAATCCGACACCCACCGCTTCCGCGCTCACTGCCTATTTTGTAAATACAAGGCAAAAGAAAGAAGCAGACGCTACAAATCCGACACCCACCACTTCCGCACTCGCTGCCTATTCCGTAAATACATGGGAAAAGAAAGACAAGCAGACGCTACAAATCCGACACCCACCGCTCCCGCGCTCACTGCCTATTCTGTAAATACAAGGCAAAAGAAAGAAGCAGACGCTACAAATCCGACACCCACCGTTTCCGCACTCACTGCCTATTCCGTAAATACATGGGAAAAGAAAGACAAGCAGACGCTACAAATCCGACACCCACCGCTCCCGCGCTCACTGCCTATTCTGTAAATACAAGGCAAAAGAAAGAAGCAGACGCTACAAATCCGACACCCAGCGCTTCCACACTCACTGCCTATTCCGTAAATACATGGGAAAAGAAAGACAAGCAGACGCTACAAATCCAACACCCACCACCTCCGCGGTCACTGCCTACTTTGTAAATTGAACATACTACGGCTCACCATAATAGCATCTCTACTAGAACCTGCCAGAAAAAGTCGCGTGGCGGGGCCAACTCGTCCCGAGATGCATACCGTTTCCGTAAAAAATGTGAGGAGGGTAGGGGGAGAGGCGGTTTCAGAAGAAGTTGCCTTGTGGAGGCTAGGCTCGTGACGTCATGCCATCCCACTGCTCTTTTTCATGATCTTTCACTCGAAACCCAGGATGTCGGTGCACGGGATTTGCCACTCCTCCTCACCCACCTTTACCCCCCTGATGCAGAGCACGGCTCTGATTGTTGTATCCAGAGCTCTGCATTCATCCACGGCTCTGCATCCATCCACCCGGTCCAGCCATTGAAGGATCCAGCCAACGTTAATTCCAGCCGATCCAGCTATCGGCTTCAACTGCTTCAGCAGCTTCAAGAACTGTGGCGCTGTGGCTTCAACATGAGCCTCAAGAATACAGTGCTGTTTCGTGCAGGTGGTGAGTACGAGGGTGAACTGCTGGGTATCAGCACACTGGTAATGAGCAGATCTTAGCTGAGGCGCTGCGGCAGAAAGCCTTTTGGAGGCTAGCGCATGATCGCGTTGAGTCGTATGCACTGGAGTCGGAGGCGCTACCCGTTTTCACCCGGTTATCTTGTCTGCTCTTTTCCAGGCAGCTTGTGCCCAAGTCTGTGTGGAGCAGATTTCCAGCTCCGCTGTTAAAAGACGGTCAAGCCTCAACTGCTAGAACTTTGGGGTACCAGGTCGTTTTCACGATCGGTATTCATCTGTCCGCCATATGAATACCGATCTGACTGTTCTCTCTACGGTTTGATATGATATATATGATATGATATGGACATGATATGGACATGATATATTTATGCCAGTGTCCATTCTGCAGGCAGCCGGCAGAATAATTTTTCTGAAATTCTATCCCATTGGCTTCCTGACGTCGCGTGAAACCTGCGGGGAGAATAATTTTTTGAAATTCTACCGGCATTCGCCTCCCATTGACTGTCTGAAGTCATGCGGCAACTGCCGGTAGAATACCGACTTTCTTATTCTCCCAGTATTTCGTAGAAACACGTTTCATAGCTCCTCACGACGCAGCAAGCACTCATTTCGGCAGTCCGCGCGTGGGAGGCTGCTCGCTCAAGATCTAAATCGCTGCCATGCTGGTACGATGCTGAATGGGCTGTGCATCCATTTGCCAAATAAACTATGACCCCAGAAATTGATGTTTAAAACTTTACTAAAAACTAGGTAATTAGCTAACTAGTTGACCCATTTCGCCTCTTTTCATTGGCCACCATGTACACCAACTTGACTGCAGAATTAAAAAAACCCTGGGGCAAGTTCCTCCCTTTTTTAAAATTCTTGACTGACTGAACAAAGAACACCCTGGATATTTCCCTAGAACTTGCAATAACCTCTCGGATGAAATGAGTAGGTAAACGTTATCCCCGGGCAACTACACTTTCCATAGGGTGCATACAGGGAGTGCTTTCCTTGCATGCTCCCTTCGGAGTTGACTGGATCCATCTACTGGGTGGAGGAACTGTAGGAGAGAGAGAAAGGTGCCTTGCAAGTGGTGAAGGTGTGAAGTGTATGTTTAAAGGCAAACTTGGTCGTCCAGTCCACAGAAGTGGGACAGAACACAAAGGAATTAGGCCAATAAGACTCGATTGTATTGGCGTTGTCTTTCTAGCGCTTTTATCCCATACAATGAATCACCAACTAGCCTTACTACATACCCTTCTTGTAATCAGTTGGGAACAAATTCTTTTTATTGTTGCCACAGAGACTCAGTTCTTAAAAAAAAAAAAGTAAAACTAAAGTTAAAAAGTTAATAAATTATTTTTAAACAATTATTACTGCCTAATGCTTGGGTACTAGTTCAGCTATGTTTGTTGTGTTTAGGCAATTTTGAGGCACGTTGGGTACCATGAAAGAATTGCAGAGTACCCCTAAGATTAACTACCACAGTAACCAAACTATGAATGGTTGTTTACTACAAATGGGGTAGTTATCAGCTTTGTATATCACAAATTTTCTAAAGTACTTCTTGGAATATTTTTGGAAAACGAAAATTTGAGATTTTAGTGTAAACTGGTTTATGGATGATGGACTCATTTTTTTTACATACAAAATTTTCAAAAATACAATTCTTGCAAAGAATATGTTTTTCAGAGCACTGTTTTTTTGTTTCGTTTTTATTTCCCTTAGACCTTGCAGGTTTGTTCCGCTGGCAACTGTCTCGAGGGAGATGTGTTGAATGGTGCACCCCTTCCTTCATGTCGGGCCCCTATCAACAGTCAACTCTTTGCTGCACAGGTTTTTTACTGCGTCCTTACTGAAACTAAAGGGATAGGATTCAATCTTTGCCAATTCTGTTCATGCGGCTCTCTCCATTTCCAGAGCCCAAGCCAGTAGACCCAGCTGAACCATTCTTGTACTATCTACTCATGTATTGAAGCGGTTGTGATGTAACGAAGTTGTTCCTTTTAGTCTGTATCTTTTTGTTATTACTAGAAAGTCCAAATGATATCCAGACCATATTCTTTCAATGAGGGTCCTTCTGCTTTACCCAAGTAGTGTTTAATTTTTTTGTTTGCTTCTCGTTGTAGAGTATCACTTTAAATAGTGACGTCTACAAATGTCTAATGTTACTGACCATAGCAGAGTCCCCACGGTGCAATACCTGTTCCATGTTTCATTTATCACCTGCAGATAACAGGTGAGCTGACGTGTTTGTTGAATATGGCAATACTGATTGCGAAATAGTGATGGGCTAGTCTACACGATTAGTAAGGTTGTTGGCTAACAGTGTGCATGGAACGGAATCTGATTAGAACAAATGCAATGAAAGCATTTACGACTCAAATATTGATGCTTATGAGAAAGCATCAGTTGCAAAATGGTGTTGCATAATAAGTGAAGTACAATGCAGTAGCACATCGTTTTTGGATTTGGTGTCACTGGTTGGTGTTGCTGGCATTATTAATAATATGAAGCTTTCGTCCTGAGCCAGAATAGATGGGATTAACAGCAAGTTCTTAAAAAATTGTAGTATGTATTGTTCAATAATTCTTTCAAAACTTTATATGCAGTCTCTTAACCATGGCACAGTCCCGAGCAATTGGGTGGTGGGAAGGTGGTTTTTTTACATAAATGTGGCGAAAAACAAAACGCATCCAATTATCGACCAATTTCTTTAACAAGTGCGCCATGTAAAATATTTCAACACGTCACTTACTCGCAGTTGATAAATTATCTTGAAACTAATGACATCTTCACAAGTTCACAACACGGCTTTAGAAAATATTCTTCATGACAGACGCAACTACTATCCTTCTCACAGGATCTTTATAATTCTCTTGATAATCATAATGAAACCGATTGTGTTTTTTTAGATTTCTCAAAAGCCTTTAACAAAGTTTCCCACAAACTCCTTCTTCATAACCTACAATCACTTAACATTGACTCCTGTATATTAAATTAGATTCATGCCTTTTTAACTAACCGCCTATAATTCGTTACAGCTAATAATACAAATTTGTGTACTGTTCCAGTGACCTCGGGCGTCCCACAGGGATCGGTGCTTGGTCCGCGCCTCTTTCTTATTTACACTAATGACTTGGTGCAGAACTTGTCGTCTTCTATTTGCCTCTTTGCTGAAGATTGCATAATATATAGAAAATAGCTGACATATCTGACACTATTCTTCTACAACCTGACCTTAATCGTATATCACTGTGCTGTAACCAGTGGCTAATAGAACTTAACACTAACAAATGCAAATCGATGAGAGTCTCACATGCGCAATCGGTGTGTCATACTTATCATCTAAACAGTAATCCCCTCGCCTCAGTGTCTGTTTACAAATATCTTGGTGTTCACATAACTTGTAATTTTTCTTGGAAGATTCATATTGAATATGTAATTAACAGTGCTAACCGTATGTTGGGATACTTAAAAAGAAATTTCTTCCTCGCTCCGTCTTCATTAAAATTGACCATATACAAAACCCTAATCCGTCCAAAATTAGAATATGCTGCTGCTGTGTGGGACCCCGCTCACTCGTCACTAATTGCTCATGTTGAATCCATTCAAAACCGCTCGGCCCGTTTTATATTGACAAACTATCATCGCACTGCCAGCGTTACTACCATGAAAAATACTTTAGGTCTGCCGTTACTAACTCACTGCCGAAAAATCTCTCAATTGTTTATTTTCATAAAATATTTCATCAAAATGTGACCCTTCATCATAAACTAATTGCTCCACCATTCTACATATCTGCTCGCGTTGATCATAGCCATAAGGTTGGTATTCCAAATTTTAAAACTTAATTATTTCAATATTCTTTTATGCCACAAACATCTATAGACTGGAACCACCTTCCTGCCTCCATTGCTAAGATCACTGATGTTGTTATGTTTAAAAATTCTATTACTAATATGTGCACTTTATAGTTAATACTTTACAGCCCTCTCCCCTCTTTAATGTACCTACCTTGAGGTTATTTGAAATAAATAAATAAATGAATATTCCTTTTTCTGAGCCCCATTGCATCTTTAATATGCAACTCATAGGTAATGGTGTCTGGTGATCAGAAGCTCGTTCATATTGCTGTAGACTGGTTTAGTTTTTCATAACTTTGGAGTTCAATGTATTTTTTTTAAACCACTTTTCGTTTTTGCCAATAACTTTTCCGACTTTGTTGGCATCTTCATCTGGCCATTAGAATGAATGTATGCTATTATAATGTTTGTTAGGTCCATGCAGCATCATGCCAAGAAGGTGCATTGAGGCACAACAAGTAAAGAGGGAGAATTTGCAATTATCCATTATTATCCTGGTGTTGACAAATTATTTAACCTATTGAACCACACATCCACTAGCCCACTATATGAGCTAATGTGAGAAATGCAAACTAAACAAGTTAAGGGAGACACTGGTCTTGAACATTTCTAGATAATTTCTCATCTAATTTGGACATTAAATTCTCACGCCTGCCACAGTTTGTGCTAAACACGAATTCAAGCCACATTGTTTTTCTATCTACTATAGTTTTAAAAAGAAAATCTCAACTATCTTACATGTCTTTGTCCAACTTTTTTACAATACTCACATCAAAAACTATGACAGAAAGTATGTCTGATTAAATAAAACTGAAAGAATAAACGTAGGGACGCGCAGAACAGCACATCTTTCGTGCTGTTCTGTCCGTCTCTATGAAAGATGTACTGTTCTTTCTGTCCCCATGTTCTTTCAGTTCTATTTAACTTCGTCAATGCGCTTACATCGAACTAAGTATGTCTGCATGCACTGCAAACTAGAGATCTCCGCGAGGTCGGGCTCGTGGCAATATACGAGAGCACTGTTTGGGTTCAGGTCGAGTTCGGGCCGATTTATCCTGAATAGCATCGGGGTCGGGTCGAGCCTGGTTGGAGCCATTGGAGCCCAACGGCCCGACCTTGACAAATATTTCGGGATTGGGTTACATATTTGTTTTATATTAAAAAAAAGTAGCAAAAAGTTGTTTTTGTTTTCTTTGTTTTTTTCATATACGGATATTTTGTGAACAAGACGAACAGGATGAGCAATGCACAAAAAAGCCGAAAGCAGGAAAACACACCGACTTCGGAGAGTGGCCACAAGCCGAGAAACCTCTTCCTAGCAACACCGAGGTGGAATGTTACTTAGACATTGACAACAGTTGTGTGGACATCATGTTCCCTCAAGCTAATGCGTAAATAACTGTGTACCTAATTACCTTTAATATTTCTTCTTAGTTTCTTAATTGGGAGGCGAGTAAGGAAAAAGACTTTCAACCTCTTCGCTCTATTCACGTCCCTTGGAACACCATGACAGTATTTGTCATCCGACTTGCCGTTGCACAGCAGGGGGGCTGAAAGACGGCTCAAACTTCCTAAACTTATTGCTTGTTTGTACTTAGAATGGAGAGTGTGCTGATAGCATAATGGGAAGACCGTGTGTTTTATGTTCTTGCCATTATTGGTATTATTGGTCGTTGTTTGCCTGTTTTTGTCTCCAACTCAAGGTAAATCATAGTCCAAACGTTAACGAGGAGAATTATAAAGTTGTGCAAACTAAATATAATTTTAATTTCAAAAATATTCTTTGGTCAAACATGTCTTTAAATGTATTATTGTGCATGCTAAAATCGTTTCCTTTATTTTTCTTTCAATCGAGCCAGACTTCTGTCGTTCATATCGTTGTTCTAGAAACAACCTGAGTAAATAAAATGGCTGTGCAGACTTTTGACACAAATATGTTTAGCTTCTTCAGATGGGAAATCCTCGTTCAATATGAACAGTGTCATGTAAAGCAAAGGTAGAACTAATAAAAAAAAACAGTCTGAGCTGGCTTCAGGTGTGGTTCGGCATGATTTGGGCCAAGTTCGGGTTGGATTCATGTCGAAAAGGGCAGTCGGGCGCGGGCCGGGTTTGCACCAAGGTTTTGTTTGGGCTGGTTTGGTTTAGCCCTAAAATTTTTGCCTGATCTGATCTCTACTGCAAACAGAACATGTTGAAACAAAATCATTCTTATAATATTAGCAGCATTCTGGGAAAACTTATCAGATGTTAAAAATGATTCACTGATAATTAGAAATTAGTCAGTAAGGTCCTTGTTAACTTAAAATTCTAGTAGTACCGTAGAATACCGCGCATCCGCCCATTCCACATTAAGCACCCATCCCCAAATTTGCGAGATCTGAGAAAATATGCACTGTAGATTTTTATGTAAAATCGATTACCGGACAGGCACCCATCCCACATTTTTTTGCGATTATCTCTGAAGTTTTAGTGGGCGCTTGCCCAGTATTTTACGGTAAATGTTTTTCATAAAGTTTAGTCTTGTTGCACTTTGCTTTATGAGGCATGTAACCTTAAAAAAAGTATTCAAATTCAAGATCCGAGGATATCATGTCACGAAAAAGTTAATTCTAAGAGCTTTTGAAAACCTGCCTGTAAACAGCCTGGATGCAGAACTTTGGACTGATGGAACTAAATGCACTTTCTGAGAGTAGTAATTATAACATGTGTTTGTGACTTAAAGTTTTGTTGTCATTTTTGCTCTGGAAGACTAGTTTTTCCCTTTAAAGATACTGTGGCAGCTAACTACAATGCCGTAATTGTTCCCCACAAGGTGACCACTGCACCGGGAATGAGAGGGGGTTCACTCGAAATCGCTTGCAGGGCCTGCCAGTAAGCACGTCAGACTGAGTCGTCTCCCTCTGTGGAGGCCTCCGCCAAAGAAGGCAGACAATTGGGACCAGCGGCCGGCACGGATTCAACACAAACAATATTGGGTTTGAAATTTAGTACTTCCAAATCGTATCTTGTGACATGGAAAATTGCACGTGCGGTCTAGGACCGAGGAACTTAATTTTACCGTATAAATTCATATATAAACATGGACTATTTTTTTTTTCTTTCGTTCAGAACTTCTTGTTGACTGTCTGGTTCCAAACGGAGGGGCGTATCACAGGCGAATGCGGCTCGCAGCTTAGACGGCTTGCACTTTCTGATGGCCAGTCTGTCGGCAAATGTTGGGGTTCGCGTTTGTTACCAAATAGTTTGGTGACTGAAATCGCCGAACTCTAACAATGCCTGGACAGAGCTTGCTTTGAGCTGAGCGAACCCATGGCTCGTGGCTGTAATGAATGCTGGCGGCATGAGCCAAGAAAAGAATGTGTACTCGGTACTGGCCACATGTTGGGGGTTAATGCTGCTCTATTCTGCTTTTTACCGTGACAGTGCTTGAAGCTAAAGCTGAGTGCGTACCTTAAAGGGATGCTGAACCGAAATTTGGAGCTCACAAAACAAGGCTGGAGCGGTAAAACCCAAAAACATCACTCGTACAGATGTATTTCTAAAGGATGGCCATATTTTTGTAAAAGGAGGGCGCGATTGAACATGGCCATCAAGGCCGACGAGACATATGACATAGCGATTCTCATTCTCCTTTTCGTTTTGTCCCCTCGAACAGGTGTACAGAAGCGAGGAGGAGAGAAGCAAGGCCGCTTCCCTTTATTCTCAAGAGAATCGAGGCGTCACATTCCTCGCTTGATTACGCCCTTCTTTTCCCAAAATACGGCCATCCGTTTGAGATATTGATCTATGAGTGATGTTTTGGAGTTCGTAGCGTCCCATTCAATGCTTCTGCGGCCTTATTTTGTGAATGTCACATTTTGGTTCAGCCTCCCTTTGAATGCTGCAACCGTTAGTGATGCATTTACATCGAAGCCCGGTTAGCTGCTCCAAGTTGAGGACAATGAGTCTGCCTTAGTGGGATTTCATGCGTCTCCCCTACAGCACTGGCTAAGGAAACCTTCAAGGACGAAGAACAGAGCTTTGTCTACAAGGGCAACAAGATTCCTGAGGGTATCGATTGGACGGGAAATACCGGAAGACGTCAGACATATGCCAGTGCTGCTTTCATCATCATGTCAGTTGTCGTGCACAAAACGTGACAGACCAAAAAAGGACGCATACTGGGGACAAGCCCTTCCGCTGCCACTTTTACCCCGAGGCATTCACACAGAAGAGTCATCGTTGGCTCCATTGAAGGGCCTTCAGGGGTAAAAAATTGCCCCATTTCTGGATCTATCAAAAGGCCTCTGAGCGAGCACCTCACTGGATGGATCATTGATACGGGAAAAGGCCGTTGTTTTAAAGCGCAGCTCTTAGGCGCCTGTTTCCAGGTTACGCGGCGTCACCGTCGCTGCCAGCATAACTGCCCCGCTAAATTTAGCGGGAAATTGGATTGGTGTTAAGGTAACCTGATGTCAATTTGTCCGCTAAATTTAGCGGGGAAAATGACGTCGCATGACTGTGTCACGTCACCCATGAACAAATTCTGTTTCTTCGCTAAATTTAGTGGTAAAATTGACGCCACATGACCTCAACACCGATTCAGTTTCCCCGCTAACTTTAGCGGGGAAAACAATGTCACAACTTCATGTCACGTCACCCATGAACAAATTCAGTTTCTACGCTAGATTTAGTGGGAAAACGTAACCTCGGCACCAATTTGAATTGTACGAAGGAGGAGAAGGGGCATACCGTCCCCTCTGTACCCTCCCTCCCTCCTCCTCAAGAGCTGTGCTCTGATTTCGCATTACAGATTTGTAAACGTCTCACTTTTTGGGAGAGCTTTTACGCACGTGCACTACTTGATGGGTCAAGAGATGAGCTGCAGGCGTCTTACGAGCACAGCGCCCGTGGGAATACTTTCACTTGGAGAAGCACTTCGAACGTGCATTTGAAGAGGCTTGTGCGGTAGATTTTCAAAATACTTTTCTAAGGGAGAACTTGCTGAATAACTTCCTCTTGGCTGAATCTAATAGAGAGTCCAACATTTTTTTGTCGATACTGGTCATGAGAAGGGTTAGGTTATTATTGTGTCAACATTGAGCAATGACTCATTCTAGTGTATTTGCCATAACTTGTCTATTTTTTGTAATGGTTTTCAGGTTATCTGCCTTGCCCAGGTTTCAGTAACATAACTGGACAAAACCTGGTTTCTTTTGTGCCGGTCTAGAGGGTTCTTCTGTGTAAAACTTGCATGTTAAGGTGTTTTGTTTCCCTGTTTGTGAATGTGATCACCATTTGTGGTGAACACAGTGAATGACTGCAATACTGCAGCCTTGACTTTTCTTTTTCATTGTTTCTTCACGAACCACCACGGGACTTTTTTAGGTTTTGCTGAACAAACATTGAACCTTATGCATAGGTTTCTGAGTTTAGGAACAATATATTGGGTTGGTTTTTAGATTGCAAAGCAAATCTGTTTTGTTATTTATGTGCAACTTTGCATCTGTGTTGTGCGTTGTATTTTTTTATTTTGCTTCCTTTGCCCCACGACCACTGATATAGTCCTGATTCAATGTGTTTGGTATGCATAAAACCTGTATTAGAAACTGGGGCCTGCTATTCAAGGTGATTTAAGAATGGGGGTCTTTTATTTATATGATTAGGGATACTAGATCTGGCCCTTGGTCATTTTTGGATTTAGTTTATATCTGTAAGGCAGCATCTCAGTTCATTCAAAAGCAATCTATCCCATTGTAATTTTGGTAGATGCACCTCTCGTTCCCTTCCCTACCCTTTAATAGATCGACGTGACCATATTGTCTACATCGCAGTGAAGCACATTAGCTGTGTTGTTTCTTGGAACAGCTCATTCAGCGATTGTGTTTTTTAACTCTAGTATATACCCACGAGGGTGCAACACTCCGGTTGTCTGGCCGGGAAATTGCTGATCACAGAGTAATGTTCGCCTCCTTTTAAATGTGGCAATCCCCTCATACACTCCATTTGTTAATGCAGGCACCTCCATACTGTTATAGCATTATTTTATGAACTTCCTGAGGTGGTCCCGACTACAAAAATTTGATTACTGCTCGCTTGTCCTTTTCGCTAGTCATTTTGTATACACTGCCGTGTCTATTCAGAACATTTCCTATTAAGCTCACCACACCACCTATTGGGCAATGTCAACATCTCTATACTTTGTGTCACTAGTTGCGTGCAGTACAGGCAAAGGCAACGTGCAGTACAGGCAAAGGAAGGGCAACCTTGTGCTTGCCCTTCCTCCCCGGAAGGGCAAGCACAAGCAAGGTTAGGGAGGTGGAAAGAAACCTCCCCTCTCAAACGTTCCTAATGCTCTCCCTTCGCCTTTCCTTACCCTCCTTTCCCCTCCCACTTTCTCGCCCTCCCTCTGTTTGCCTGGCGTTGCCTTCTCATGCACTGCACACAACTAGTGATACAGAGTATAGGATTGTATCTTCCCTGCGTAGGAGTTTGAAATTCCCGTGGTGTTTGTTTCCTAAAACACTGTCAGTGTGATGTTACCTTTCTAAACACCCTCATAGATTTTGGTCAGTTGTCATACTTTTGGAGTCATTGTATATTGACTGGATTTGTCTACTTGGGGCCAGTTATGCTTTTGCCCTTTCTCAGTCATTGCTTTTACTTTTTCTCAGCTTGGAGCAGCTGCTGGTCTGCAGTATGGGCCATTAACAAAAAATAGCAATAATGTGCTATGTATCTTCCCAACAGGTTTGGTAAGCTTCAGTGTTGAAGAGAAAAGCTTGAACTGTAAGGACAGCAAGAGCCAATCCTCCCTCCAAGACGGATCGACCATGCAGCAGTGGGAGGCACTGCCACCTCAAGGCTGCCTACACCAGTGCCGCTTCTGTGCATACTCCACGTACCAGAAGAGTGACATCACCAAGCACGAAAAGATGCACACAAAGGAGAAATGCTACAATTGCCCCATCTGTCCTGAAGTATTCAAACTGAAGAGCCACCTTCAGCATCACAACAAGATCCACAGGGGTGAAAAGCCTTTTAGATGCCAGGTCTGTCCACAGGCATTTGCAGAGAGATACAACTTGGTGGACCACGAAAGGATTCACACGGACGAAAGACCATTCAAGTGCAGAATGTGTGACAGTGCTTTTGCACAGAGGTCTACCTGGAAAGATCATGAAAGGATTCACACAGGTGAAAGGCCATTCAAGTGCAACACATGTGGCAGTGCTTTTGCACAGAGATCCACCTTAAGGGGTCATGAGAGACTGCATAGGGGAGAGCGACCTTACAGCTGCGAGACCTGTGGGCGAAAGTTCACCCACAGTGGCAACTTGAATAAGCATAGAAAGGGTTGCAACTTGTGAGAATGCTTGTTGCATGAAACCTGTGGAGGAGACATATACCCCTGGAGACAACATGAGCTTAAACACCTGATGCGTCTTTTTGTGTAACAAGCATGTAGTTGGCGGTGCATACTTGTTTGGTGGGAACAGGTATCCACAAGCTTTATTATATCTGAATTTGTCATATAGTCCGAAGTATAAGGGACCTCCACTTACATTCCATTCCTAGTTCGAGCCGCAGCTCTCTTATGGTACGTTTACACTTGCGGATCCGCCAGCGAATCCGCCCAGCTTTTGCCGCTGGGGCGAAACGCTGGGCGGAAAACGCGGCGGCGAGCCGTTTAGGTCCGGGATCTATTTCTGCCGCCGAACGAGGCGTTTCGCTGACCGGATATGCCATTCTTGCGCGGCGCGACGCTGCCTACGTCACGAGTACGCGTTCTTCCGGGAGCAGCAACGCCGGGAGAGAGAGAGCCGAGGCGGGAACTCTCGCGCCTTCTCGTCATATTTGACGAGACGTTACGGGAACCGATGCCGCAGCCGGCGCTGCCGCCACTGCTCGAAGGAAACAGATGTAAACGCAACCCGCTCGTCGCCGCCGGGAGCGGATCCGCTCCCGCGGCAGCGGATTTCTTCTCAGGTGTAAACGTACCATTAAAAGCTGGCAGCTATGCAAAAAACGCGTGATGGACTATTTGAGCCCATATTGTTTGCGATAGTACAACAATCTGGTTTAAACCTTCCGTGCCTTCCAACGGACCAGACGGAGTTACATATCTGTTGGCACTGATGCTTGCAGTGTTTTGTAAGTTTTTCTTTCCATAAGGGCAATACTGGGTTGGAACTGAATCCACATATTGTTTTGTAAAATCTCGACAAATGGTAAAATAGCCAGTCTCGTGTCTGTTTACAGGACAAGTTCAGCAATAACAACATTCAAATAACTCGTATTCTAGTTTTTTTAAAAATCGGCTGCTAAATGTATACGGATTCAACAAAGGTCTACCTGGTTAGAGAAATAGGTTGCCTGGTATGGAACTCAATTATTTTTCTGTAAGTCTGTCTTTTTTCTTGATAAATTCAGTTACACCTGAATGCATGAGTGAGATGAGGTTGCTAGAAGGATTAGTCTACATGAATATGTTGCATACGGTGCGTTTGACATGAAACAATCTGATTTGTTTGGTGTATGTTCGAAATAAAGCGTGGTCCAGAATCTTGGTGTGTTTTGTTTGCCTTCTAACCTTCTCTTTTTTAATTTTTATCGGTTGTCTTGTTTCAAGGGCAACTCTGCTTCATTTTTGTTTTTGAAAAAGCCATGCTGGTCCTCTTCAGTATCACCTTGGAAGACTGCACGTCAAATATTACGATGTGATTCTGTCTAAATGTTTTTAAAAAGACCGGCAAACTTTTCAAGTTGCCAAAATCGGCGGACTCGAGCAGGCGAATTTAGGCGCAACCAACAGCGCAGTCAAGGCTACAACGTGGACGGAGCCAACATCGAGTTAATCGTCATCACCATTGCCACCTTTTTACTTGCTTTTACTTCTCTGGGCAAGCTTAACGGGTAATGTCGGCAGCGTTCCCTTTCAGCACTCGGGGATGATTGGCGTAATGCGCCTGCACAGCATGTTTATTGGGAGCTGTCCGGCTGCTGCGCCGTTACCGCCGTCGCCCACATCACAACCGTTGTCGTTATCTTAACGTTTGTGATTATTCGCTCTCGGAGTTTCGTCTGCACTATGGACACTACATGTGCAGACTTAGGCCGCAGTTGTGCAGACGTCATCAAATGTCGTAGACACTGAAACGTGGTAAAGAGTGTGGTGCAGACGACGAGGATGGTGGGTAGACCTCAATGCTTAAGTCTACCCACTATTTCTTTGTTTTCAATCAGCCAATAAGAGCTTGGCGTTCTGACACCATCGCTACCCCTGTACAAGAAGCAGACAAACCTGCACTCTGCATTGGTCCCCCCTAGAGCCACTATATGAGCTGCGCTGAGAGTATCGGCAATCCGTTTCCCGACATTGTTGTGGGCGCCGCCATTTTGTGGCCTGTGCAGAGCAGACGCGACTGCCGATAGTCGTGATTCAAAGGTGCGACTTCCTCAGTCTTATTTTCGGTGTTAGGAAGCTCATACAATACAGCTTTGCTCTGTCGCGAACTGTTTAAACATTGGTAGAGGATGGAAAAGCGTTTCCTTGTGATTTCAGATAAAGCTTCAGATAACTGGCAACCACGATTTTAAGCCACAATATGGCCAAGTGTCATTACTCTGAAGCGTAGCTTATTTAGTGGCACTAGTCCCCCCTAGTGATTCTGATCCCAACTGGAAGGGACTAAACTGGGGTCGGCTGGGGGCCCAACTAGGATCAGTTCAAGGGTCAAGTGGACTGGCTCACCCACTCCGAACTGGTGAACAGGTTCAACTGGGGTCAGTTGTGAGACCAACTGGTTGGAAAGTTTTCCAGTCGGGGGTCGGTAGCTGGCCTCTTTTGCATCAGATTGAATATTTTGGTCATTGGAACATATGGTTGAACGAAAAAGTGTGTCGCTCTTTCGGTCAATTAAATATTTTAATATTCACAAAAATAACTTCTTCAGCTTGAAAATAGTAAACATATGCCTAAATCCATATATTCATAGAAAAGCTTTCATTGGTTTAACTTGGTGACAAGCATATTTCTTTCAATATATATACACAATGGAAATAGAACCAAATTTGATAGGCATCTGCATGGTATATTGCAGTGCCGTAGCATATACGAAATATAGCTGATTTTTGTGATTGATTTGTTAAAGGGGTTCAATTCCTGGCCCGCAGTAAGTGCATTGAAAATTGATTTGTTAAAGGGGTTGAGTTCCTGGCCCACAGCAAGTGCATTTTTGGAAGCTGATTTGTTAAAGGGGTTGAATTCCTGGCCCACAGTAAGTGCATTGGAAGCTGATTTGCTAAAGGGGTTGAATTCCTGGCCCAGAGTAAGTGGATTGAAAATGGTCGTGAAAAATCGCTCTGTGGATCGATTGCGGAGAGCAAGTCGTCTGCTGCTTGCACAGGGGTTGATGTGACGTCAGAACGATGCCGAGTTCTGATTGGCTTTGATTGCAAGGATAGTGGGTATACACCTGAATACTAGATGCCTCTAGGCTTACCACTATTTTTTTTTTTTTTTTTTTTCAATTAGAAATTAAGAATTTGGCGTTCTGATATCACACCCCCTGTGCGAGAAGCAGACAAACTTTCGTTCAGCATAGGCCCAAAATCTTAACTACGATCAAATTAAAACTTTTCACAGGAATTGGTATGGACCCAGTGTCCTCTCGAAGTCGTTGCTTAGTAGTTCCTTTGTGGCATCAAAATTATTTTGTTTTGACCACTTTCAATTAAAACGCGTACGTGCTGGCTTGCTGCGCTTAAGACACTGATAGGGTATCTATGTACGCCGGCGTTTTTATTTGTATGTGACATATGACAACCTGACTACCCAGAACACAATTTGAGGCTCCAAATTTATTTTCTTTCCGCCCGAAAACCGCCGATCGAGAACGTTCAGAGACGAAGAGAGAGAACGCGACTTGAGTCGCGTTCACTCTCTTCGTCGTCACCAACGAGGTTGAGTAAACACGTGCCGATCGAAGTCGTGGGTCATCGAAAGCACACACCCAGTACTAAAAACAGACAAAAAATATTATACCTAAAGATTAAAACAGCGCAAGGACAAGAACAAGAAGGTAGACAAACAAGGCGCTGACTTACAACTGAAGTTTATTCGTTCTAACAGCGAGTATAAATACTGTATTGTCACAACAAACAAACATGAATAAAAAGCGTGACCTGGATGCCACGTGCTCACTAGCCATCGCTATGCACTGTCACTGTGTGTCTAAATAGGAACGTTCCTTATCTGATAAAGATAGTGACGGAGTGCTGCCACAGCTTTGCCCCAATCTTCCAATTTCCTGCGCCTCGATGATTTCCCGAGTGAGTTTGTCTTTATTTTTCCTAATCACTTCACACTTGTCAAAGACGGGAGCACAGCAACAGTCTCGGCAGTACAGGCCAAGGTGACCTGACACAACTCTAAACACGTTATACTTGTGCTCCCGCAGCCGATCATTAAAGACATCGCCCCGTTTGCCCGACGTATCTCCTGCCACACGAGAGGGGAATAGAGTACACTACTCCCTCCACACAGTCTACGAATTGGTCCTGGTGTTTTTTGGTGCAACCCTGCTTTTCTTTAGAACAGGAGTTCACTTTTCTGAACAGCCCAGATAGCTTCTCCGGAGCCGAAAAACCACATCAACTCCAACCCTACGGCCAACTTTCTTAAGGTTGTGAGATATCTTGTGCAGGTATGGTAAAACAGTTACTTTTTTGTTAACCCTACGAGCCTGCTGGGTAGTTTCCTCACGTCCTTTTTTAAGTAAGCTCTCAGCAACTGTCGTCAACAGGTAAGACGGATATCCCGCATGTCTGAGCCTTGCTGCTTGTGTGTCGAAGCTTTCTTTCACCCTGTGGGGGCAAGACTTGAACAGGGCATTTCTAAAACAAAGGTTAACAATTCCTCTTTTCACAAGTTTGGAATGCGCTGAGGAAAAAGGCAAGATGGGTTTCTTTGCCCTTGGCTCATATATCCAGCACACATGGCCATGACCAAGTTGCAGGCTCAGATCCAGAAACCTAATGGCCCCATTTACAGGTACTTCATGCGTCAGCACCAGCGGTTTCAGACACTCTTTGAACGTTGACAGGACAAACGACACAGCCGAATCTATTTCCTCATTGTCACAATCTAGGAGCACCAAATAGTCGTCTACGAATCTAAAAATTTTCCCCACCTTGGTTCCTTCCAGCTTGCCTGACAGGACTTTATCGTGGAACGCAAAAAATATATCGCTAAGTACTGGGGCTATACATGACCCTATGCACACGCCATTTCTCTGAATAAAAACACCGTCATCCCAGATCGCGAACGTCGACTTGAGATAAAAAGATAAAAGTTCTAGAAAGTGACTCTCACTAAGTCCAGATTCATTCTGAAACGCCACGGTACCATGACTGTCAATACATTCTTCCACAGATGCCAACAGCTCTTTATGGGGAATCGAATAGTACAAATCTTTAATGTCAATTGAGCAAGCCAATGAGCTTCGGTCTGGATGGTCTTTAAAAAAATCTAGTATCTGATCAGAGTTCTTCACCCGAAAGGGATCATCAATCATTAACATATTTAGTTTTGTTGGCAAAAATGAAGCCACAGATTTTTGCCATGTCCCTTTCTCCGACACAATCACGCGTAGCGGACAGTTAATCTTGTGCGTTTTGGCAGAAAAAAATAAATCTAAACCTAAGCATTTGCCCTTATCAATCGCTTGGCCCAGTTTATCTAGGCTTAGCTGTTTGCAAAGCCTATGTGCTTTAGTTTTCACCTTCGAAAGTGACACGTCATTCCTGCGCTCAAACGTGGCCGTTATGGCGTCTGACGCTTTAGACATAAACACCCCCTTAAGCACCACTACGAAGCCTCCCTCTTTATCCGCTGGTAATAAAGACGGAATTTTCTTTTAAATAGGTGACAGTGCTTTTCAGCGGAACCTTGGACCCCGAGGGCTTGTAACAACACGTCCACGCCTTCAGATATACATCTGTCGACTTCAGACTCTGGAGCTCGTCCGGAAACTTGTCTCACCATCGTTAGCAGCTCAGGAGGCGATTTTCTTGGTTCGGCCGCGAACTTCGGGCCCTGGCTCAGGGCTCGTTCCATTTTCACTGGGAGTTCAACGTCGCCCAACTTGTGAACCAGGTTTCCCACAGCTGGTGTCGTCTCTGGGATGCTGGCTCGAAGGTGCATCAAAGTTTGACGCCACAAGAATTCAACAGTTCTGTCGATAGTGCGGGAGAACTCCCGCCACCTTGATCCTCTGCCAGACGAATCAGCTCCATCAAGTAGGCGAAGATACAGGCACTCCCTGTACAGCCGTATCTGCCATTGATACTCCGCTCGTAGGATTCTGCATATCCTAGTTCCGTGGCCCGGTGAGGGTGCCCAACCACCGAACAAGGCCCGAACCTCTGGAGGCAGGATACCCCGGCGGATGCAGAAGGCCAGCGAACGAGCACGGCACACAGCTCCAGCGATGACAGCCACCAGTCTTACCTGTTGACGATAGTTGCTGAGAGCTTACTTAAGAAAGGACGTGAGGAAACTACCCAGCAGGCTCGTAGGGTTAACAAAAAAGTACCTGTTTTACCATACCTGCGTAAGATATCTCACAACCTTAAGAAAGTTGGCCGTAGGGTTGGAGTTGATGTGGTTTTTTCGGCTCCGGAGAAGCTATCTGGGCTGTTCAGAAAAGTGAACTTCTAAAGAAAAGCAGGGTTGCACCAAAAAAACACCAGGACCAATTCGTAGACTGTGTGGAGGGAGTAGTGTACTCTATTCCCCTCTCGTGTGGCAGGAGATATGTCGGGCAAACGGGGCGATGCCTCAATGATCGGCTGCGGGAGCACAAGTATAACGTGTTTAGAGTTGTGTCAGGTCACCTAGCCTGCACTGCCGAGACTGTTGCTGCGCTCCCGTCTTTGACAAGTGTGAAATTAAGTGATTAGGAGAAATAAAGACAAACACACTCGGGAAATCATTGAGGCGCGGGAATTTGGAAGATTGGGGCAAAACTGTGGTCAGCACTCCGTCACTATCTTTATAAGATAAGGAACGTTCCTATTTAGACACACAGTGACAGTGCATAGCGATGGCTAGTGAGCACGTGGCATCCAGGTCACGCTTTTTATTCATGTTTGTTTGTTGTGACAATACAGTATTTATACTCGCTGTAGTACGAATAAACTTCAGTTGTAAGTCTGCGCCTTAGTTTGTCTACCTTCTTGTTCTCCGTGTCCTCGCGCTGTTTCAATATTTAATCATGAAATACCCAACTAGCCCAAACTTCTACTTTAGTCAAAAAATATTACACTCATCTTTTTTGTGGCTTCTTAAAAGCTGAAAATATGTTGATTGAAAAAAAAGAGGGGGGGGGGGGCGGCATCGACAGTCACGTGACTTCGGGTAACTTTCTCCTCCTCTATATTTCTTTTTTCCTTTTCTGTCCAGTGTGAACATATAAATAAAACAGCGCAAACGAACGCAAGGACAAGTAAACACTGTAGGCAAGTAGAAGAAGGGACAGAGACACAGCGCTGACCACTGATCTCAATGACAATTGCTGGATCGCGCTTGCCGCTCCCGCAAGTGAAGCCACCGGACTTCACTCGCTTGGGATACGATTTGCCGTTTTTGCTAGCCTTTGCTGCGGTTTTCCAGCGTGCTGTGGACACGTTTTCTACTCGTTCGTCGTCATTCGCAAGAAGTTTTTTGAAGACTCTGTGTATTGTTGAGACTTGCCGTCGTGAACACGTGGAAAATTTTACGAAAGTGCAGTGTCGCAGGAAAAAGGCACAACGCATCGAAAGGAAAGGCTGGCGGCGTGTTCAAAGCTTCCGTGGCACGCCGAAGTGCCGTGTCTCTGTGCCTTCGCACGCTTGGATACCGACCAAGAATCGACGCCGTGTGGATGTGTTTTGCGAGCGCAATGTGCGTGAAGCCGTATCAAAAGGTACAACTCGTCGAAAACAAGTGTCGCCGACTCGCCGGTGTCGCGGCGTGATCAAAGCTTCCTTGGCACGCCGAGTGATGCATCTTTGTGCCTTCGCACGCTTGGATACCGGTCAAGAATTGACGCCGCGCCAAAGTTCTGAACGTGTGTCGCGCGTAGAAGCCTTTAGATCATTTATATATATCGACCACGGAGCTCTGGATCGTCCAGCTGTTCCGGTGAGTTGCTATCAATAAAAGGGAGAGATCTGTACGTGTTCTTATGTACTATATTAACCATGGCTATGTCCCAAATCTACTCTAATAGATTCCGTGGGAGCACGAATAGGGCAACGTTGTGGAGCCAGGGGGGTTTTCGAAAGCAAAAGTACAAGACGGCGAGAATGTAAATCTTTGAAGCGCGGCCGATATGGTCGTGTGCAACCTGCTGACCAATTACAATTAGGCGAGCCGCGCTCAAACGTCAAGTGCTATTAAGTAGGTTGATAATAAGCCAGCACTGATCAGTGATGAGGAGCTGTTGTGCACGGTATTGTGTAAATCGTCTAAGGACGAAAAAAAGACGTACCTTCCCCCATCTTCCGTCGCTAGTGGACGCTGGATTAAGCTCGTTCCTAAACCGCGAGGGGAAAAGACGCTGATCCAGAGGCACGAACAGCTTCACGCACATTGCACTCGCTAGACACATACACACGGCGTCGGTTCTTGGTCGGTATCCAAGCGTGCGAAGGCACAGAGACACGGCACTTCGGCGTGCCAAGGAAGCTTTGAACACGCCGCCAGCACTTCCTTTCGACGCGTTGTGCCTTTTTCCTGCGACACTGCACTTTCGTAAAATTTTCCACGTGCTCACAACGGCAAGTCTCAACAATACACAGAGTCTTCAAAAAACTTCTTCGGCGAATGACGACGAACGAGTAGAAAACGTGTCCACAGCACGCTGGAAAACCGCAGCAAAGGCTAGCAAAAACGGCAAATCGTATCCCAAGCGAGTGAAGTCCGGTGGCTTCACTTGCGCTGCAGCGAACAAGCGGGGAAACGCGATCCAGCAATTGTCATAGAGATCAGTGGCGCTGACTCACGACTTACTCTCTTTTTCGTCTTCTTAAAACACATAAACATAAGAGGACAAAAAGATTAATTAGGAAGCGAGCAAGCCGGCCGTGTCGCGGCGGTCGCCTATTGTTCGTAGGGAGGCTGTAGTGAGGGTGGGCGCAACTCAAAACCTGGAGAGCGTTTGCAATTTAATGGCGGCTCCTGAGGGAGAGGATTCGAGAAAGGATATGCGCCAGTGTTGCCTGCACGAGAGCAGGCGCCCGCTCTGTTGCAACTCTGTTGCTCCATGCGCCTTTTCTCCTCTCGCCTCCCATTGCAAGCAACGAGCGCCTTGGCGCAGCCTCTTTCGCTTCCTTCTCGCTAAAAGCAAAGTTGCCAGACAAGCAGCAACGTCCAAGATGGCGGAATTTACCATTTTTCGCGTTAAAAAAATACTTAACCTATCGCAACAAAACTGGTGGCTATAAAAAAGTAATCATTTATACCTTGTGTAAATTATTCAAGCACCTTAATGGGCGTTTATACCTCCCTAATTGTTCGCCGCGACCTGGCGGTAGCCGCCGCAGGAGCATCGGGCAGCGATGGCGACGAACAGCGCGGCGGACAGCGTCCCCGTCGTGATTACGACGGAATTTAAGGCAGTTACGAGTTCGGAAAGTTCCTTCGGAAGCCGGTGCCGCCGGCTCAGAATCATCGCGAAGTAATAGTAACGAACACCACAGAGGACAGTGGGCGACTACGAATCCGGAAAGCTTCTTCGGTAGCCGGTACAGAATCATCGGGGGGAAGCAGTGGCGATTAGCAGCACAGCGGACAGTGTTCCCGGGGTGATTACGACGGGGTTTAAGGCGGTTACGAATCCAGAAAGCTTCTTCCGTGGTGCGAATATGACGAAGAGAAAACTTTTTCATGAATCTGGCCGCGTGTACGACGTGAAGGAGGTCCGTTTCGACGGACAAGTGGATGCCCCGGAGCGCCGTACTCTGCAAACAAAATTAAGCGCGCCCGCAAAAAAATTTAGTTGGCGTTGAGGAGACTGCGGTAATTATGTAAGTTTATTTCTGAATCAGCTGGACAATAACTGGGCGATTTTTTTTTCGCGCCGTTCCGCGATTCTTTTTACTATCTTCCTGTAGGCTGATGGAAACATCCAAGGGTAGGCTTAGGAGGGCGACCGCATTCCGCTTCTCGATTCCGGGGAAGTATTTGCTGCATAGAGTTTGCCGTCGGTGTCGATGCTGTTCTATCGTCGCTAGAAGAGAAAAGAAGGTAACTGTATTATACGTCAGCAGCTTAAACAAAGCACGAACTGGAAGGTAAGAAACACCACTAACCTGTATGGACGCACAAGTCGCGCAGTACTCCGCCTCGTACGGCTTCGAAGAGACGATGTAGTACTACGTGTACTACGTGCCGTGCGCGATCTTCGACGTACTATTTCAGCCGACCAGGCAGCACTTGTTGCGGCTTTCTTGGTGCGAAATAGTCATCTCAGAAATTACAGCGCTAACCCACTACAACGCAGCGACTGGCAGAAGATGCCCGATGCAACGGACCCGTTTGCCGCTAGGGGCGCCCTGGTCGGGGCTTGAATTAGATCCGCACGGTTCCTCATCTTCACTGTAATGTGCCATTCGAAGAATTTCTAACAGAAAGTATACATTACATAAACAAATTAAAAAGGAAAGTAAATAGTAGAAAAATATATAACCATACATCGTTCCACCTCAGGTCTGAGCAAAGCCATAAGCGAGCTCTCTGAGTGCCTGTCTCGCACGTGGCTTGTTATTGGCTGAAGCTGAGCATGTTGGTTCATTGACTGATCGCACGTGGCCTCATGGTTCCAGTTAAGTTTTGGTTTCGCTTGGAGTAGTTTCGTTTTTTATATATTAAAACTACACGTGACGCTATAGCAAAATATTGATTGGGTAGTGTGGTGTAGACCGGCGAACGCGGCCGGAAGGCCGCAGAACAAGAACTGACACGAGGCAGGCACTGGACGCTGACTGATCTTTATGAAAAAATTGGCTTGCTCTTTATGTTTATACAGCCTTGATGGAGATGCGCGTCAACGGGTAATCGGTCTCTTAGCTGTAGATGAGAAATTTAGCCAGTGCGGTACAACCGCTAACCTGGGATTTTTAGCGTGCATCACGCAGTAGTGATCACACGAACGCGTGCCGGTACGAAACTCATCCAGATCGAAACGGGTGGGGGCGGCGGGGATCGAACCCAGGAGGTTCCCAGCGCAAGCTTTCGCTCCACGCTCCGAGCTTAGACGCGTTAGCCCACTCGGCCACTCAAAAAAAAAAAAAAAAAAAAAAAAAAAAAATTGGCTTGTTCTTTATGTTTATACAGCCGTGATGGAGATGCGCCTCAACGGGTAATCGGTCTCTTAGCTGTAGATGAGAAATTAATAGCGAGTTCGTTTCACACGCACTGGCACCGTTCGAGTTCTCTCCCAGAATGCATCGCACTCACGGAGTGTTGCACGGAAAACTGGACTCAAACGAACTCGCCAAATGCACCGAGTGCAGAAGACTGATGCTACCGCCATCTATGTTGTAGAAAAGGTACCGACTTCAAAGCGAAACTAGCGCCTTTCTGTTCGGAGTGATGCGTGAGAATGCGAGAATGCAGTCGGCTACCAACTTTTATCTACAAACGTTGGTCGCTGCAACCTGTAGTTTATAGCTGCGATGACTTCAAGCAGCTAGGCTGCGGTAGAGATAATTAGAGACGGCGTCAATTTCCGCAATCAGCTGTCTACAAAGCAGCTGGTTGCGATCTTTCAATTCTTATAACCGTTTACACTGAAGAAAACTGATGATGCTGTCGGAGCAGAAGCTTGATCCGTTTGAGCATGGTATTATGCGTGAACCACTGAAAGGGTACGGCTTAAAACTAGCCTGTTGGAATATCCAGCAAACCTGGGACTTTCGATTTGGATCGTCATTATAGGTGGATCAGATATTAGCCTTGGTGAGGGCGTCGAGAACGAGAGCTTTCTCGAACAAAATACGACGGGGCAAGTTAGCTGACGTAGGTAAATGTTAAACATGATGGTTTTGCCCAATCCTCGGGTAAAGTCTCCATCTTTCTCTGATGCTTATAGTCAGAGGTTTCTGCTGGGGGAGTTTTGTCCACAAATGTTAAATTTTTCACCCGCACACGGATGGTGCGTTTGTTCTGAGCATTTCTTTACACACTGGTATATTTCAGCGTTTGTACGGCAACAGAGCGATTTAAAACCTGCAAATAAATCACGGGTTGTCAATTGCTTCCTTCGTGAAATAGCAGACGCTCACAATTCAAGCTCGCGTTTGAGTTCGTTTATCTATCTCTATTTCTATCAGAAAATCTACTTTTTTTCCGTTCGGTTCCGCGACACATCGTAGCAGACGAACCCTCGTCGTCTGCTACCGCTCCTCGCCGGCCCCACCGGAGCGAGGCATGACGGGATTGCATTTTGGCGCACTCCCGATTTTCTCGGTGCAGCGAGTGCATGCACGCGTGGGGTGTCAGCGCTGAAACGAACTCGGAGAGTGCAACCACTCGTGGAGTGCCGGCCGAAACGAACCCGTTCCACGCTGCGAGTGGGCACGCGTGGGCACGAGTGCCGTGAAACGTGAAACGCGGTACAACCGCTAACCTAGGACTTCTAACGTGCATCACGCAGTAGTGATCACACGAACGCGTGCCGGTACGAAACTCATCCAGATCGAAACGGGCGGGGACGGCGGGGACTCGAACCCAGGAGGTTCCCAGCGCAAGCTTTCGCTCCACGCTCCAAGCTGAGACGCGTAGCCCACTCGGCCACTTCCTCCCTACTCGGCCACTACGATGGTCCGATGGTGATGCTGCATGAGTTCAGCGCCCTCTATACACAACAGGTAGTCTCTGACATAGAGTGGTCTCTGACACCATAATAAATTGCCTGGCAAAAGTAAATAAAAAATTCCAAACCTCCTGAAGTAAAAAAGAGGCGCTACTTTTTTCTTTTTTTTTTTTTTATGTGTGCAACCAACATTCGCGACAAAATGTAGTGTTCAAACCATAGAGTTCAAACCAGTTGAAAATGTTCTGTTGAATGATTACTATTTTATAATGCTTTAAATCAGACGCAGATCCTGAATGCCGATGCCTAGAAGAAAACGAACGAAGCGAAGACAGCAGACGCAGCAGACGAATTTGTCCACGCCGCTGTGATGGCGCTACTGGCGCTACGGTCACTCTGGTCACTCATCTCCAAAACAACATGGCGTCGCCGGGTTCGAGCGTTCTTTACTAAACCCAAAAACGAAGCTGTCCGCCGTATTTTCTTCTCTCTGCGCGTCAAGATGACGTTATACCCGAACGAGTATGTTTCTCTGGAGCAGCCGCACAACAATTATTGGAACCAGTAAGTCGCATAAGTGCAATTCCGAACTCTGAACGACAACTTGATTTCTCTCTTGCATCCTTGACACCCTCATACCGTAGATTTTACCGTAGACGTGCTTGTAATGCCCCTCCAAAATATTCCACCCTTAAGTGTGTCTCCGTGTTGCTTCTTACAAACGTTCCTCACAATGCGTGCATGTGTGACACTAGAATCTCGTTCTCGGTATCGCCGAGTTACGATTCATTCAAACATTCGATGAAGGGAATCTTGCTTTTGTTTCTGTTGCCACACGCGAACATTAACGTCTTATACGTTTCGGTTACTTGTTATTTCAATCGTCGATTGTAAGAATAAAAATTGTTTTCACGTGCGTCTGCCGCTGATGTGGCCCATCTTCTTTTCAACTCGTTCGTGTGCAACAACGCGTGAAGAGCATAATCCGAAACCGAAACCAATTGCCCTGTGCAGTAAACAAAAAGTGCAGTGGATGCTGATGCTTTTCTCCGGGTGCCTGTACCTGTACGCGGCGCGTATGGCCATGCCCATCACCGTGACTGTGATCAGCGGCCAGACTGGCTGGAACAAGACCACCGCCGTGAGTTGCAGGATTTTTCCACCTTCGTCTACTGGGCTATGGAACCCGCTCCCGAGCTCGCGCAGTAGGAATGTATGCGGAATTTCGGACGCTGGGCATGCGTCCACAGCCCAGAGACTCTGCGTTTTTTCGCCTCGATGATGAAAGCTGGAAAGGTGTTAGTGACCTCCTTTGTAGCCACGGCGGTGCATGATGGACCCCCCTCTTCAACTGCATGTCGGCCTCGGGGCAGAAAGCTTCCTCGCACTTGGGGTAGTCCCTGCGGGGCGTTGTTGCTGTGCTGCTTTTTCAACTTCTTCAAAGTGTCCGTGCTCTGCCCCCAAACCCTGTGACCCCTCCATTCCCTGCAGGGGATTATGCTTGCTCAGCTTGGTAAAACTGTCCGTGCTCTGCCCCCAACCCCGTGACTCCCTCGATTCCCTGCAGGGCATGTTGCTCCCTCAACTTCCTTGGTATGTCTATTCTCTGCCCCCCAAGCCTGTGACTCTCCCCAATTGACCCCGTAAGTGATGTCGTCGCAACATAGCGCTGTAAATGCGTGGAGGCTCGACGTTAGGTTAGAAATTCTCCAACAAGAAAGTAAATATTTGGTAAGCATTGGGTCTTCTTTATATCTGATTATGACGACTTTTTCTATCATTTTAGTACCATAGAGCGATGTTAAAAGCCCGTAATAAAGTTGTACATCTGGGTTTGCATTGCTAGCAGACGACATGATGGCCTCGCGGGTTCAGTGTTTTTTGTTCTGAGGGAGTACACGACTGCGCTAAATTAAGTTGGTGATCACCAACGAAACTTCAATTCTCGGGGTCAACTTTCTATGGGCATTTGGCAATGAAAGAGTGCACAGCCTTGATCAACGCTCGAGGTGCGTGAGCACGTGGACACTTGCCAATCGCTTCTGCAATATTTTAAAAGGTGAAAACACTGTGAAGCCAAATAATGTACAGCGATAATGAAGTGACGTCTATCAAGGTCGAAGTGCAGGCCAGCACACGCTTCAACGAATTCTGACTGCACAGAAGTCTTCAGTGCATATTTGTGTGATAAATTAAACTGTCCCTAACAGATATAGATATCAGTGATGTGATTGCTGCGCCAAACTGTGCCAAACTGCGCCAAGGAGCTAACCCTGCTACATCCTGCTACATTTTGCCAAAATATGGGTAATCTGCGCCATGCTTGCTCCAAAGGACCATTTTGGTCGCCTTTCAAAACAAACTAAACTGAGAACCGTAATTGAGCATGCGTAAGCTAGGTAGCGCAAGCGGCCGCCCAACACAACGTATACTGCATCAATCGTCTATCCGGTCTTGCATGGCTTTTCCCGCAGTCTCGCGTTTTGTGCTCTCGTCGTCTCGAGAATCTCGTTTCGCGTCTTTTTAAAAAAAAGATTTCAACGATAAACGTGGGCGTGTGCGGGCGCTCCGACGTTAGTGTGCCGGGTGCCGGATATGCCGTCATGCTGTGAAACAAAACCGCGTTTTTGCGCGATGAGAGTTACTTTTGTGAGCTGAAGCGCTCGCGCGACCACAGTCGCCTTGGTCGCGCGACGTCGTGTGTTGCCGTCCCCATATCGCTGCAGATATGGCGCTTTCTATACTGAAACGCATCGACATTCCTATTGTTATTTAAATTATACGCTGCTACGAAAATCCCTATTTAACTCAAAGACTGCTTGGCTCAGTATTGATTATTTAGGTTCTCTCGGTGGGCTTTCCTTCGAGAGGGACCCCGGTACGTGAAAAATCTGCCGTGACAGAAAGTTGGTGAAGTGAGCAAAAGCAAAGAAGGCAATGTCTGCACGCTGAACCCGCACAGCGCGCTTATTTGTTACGAGTTAAGTCGTTGCACAAAGCGTTCTAAGAACTTTTTGACCCTGGCTCGCGATGTCATACACCGATGCGCCCAGGTTCTTTTTTTCTGTGTGTTTAGCCTGTACCTCGCCTGCCGGTCTGGCAAGCATGCGCCGCTGGACTGTTTATAGCCATGTGCTGGACAGTTACATTTTGCATACTATTTTGGGAACCGGTTAGCGACGAAGCGGAGTGGCTTAGTGGCATGGCTTCGCCGGAGCCTACCGAAGTTGCCCTCACATGCATGTGAACATGATTGCATGACAGAGGCACCATCCGGGATGTTTGCAATCCATTGTTTTACGTTTGCTTACTTTTTCTGAAAATCTGGCAGGTCGGGAGCCAGTAAAACGGTGGCAAGTGTTTTTTTCGGAATTGCTCGGCAACGCTTACAGCACTGTTTACTTGCGGGATGTCTCAGCAGTAAAAACACAAGCAGCGAGTTCCGTCACAACACAACACAAAGTGCCCTTCGTTTGTTTAGCACTTAAAACAAATATTTATTTTTCTAAGAATAGCTGCTCCAAAAGCCACTTTGTCTGCACCGAAACAATGTTTTGGCTGCTCCAAAAGCTGTTTTGGCTGCTCCAAAAGCTGCTTTTGCTGCTCCAAAACACTGTTTTGGCTGCGCCAAAGGCCACATTTGCTGCTCCAAAACACTGTTTTAGCTGCTCCAAAAGGTGCTCCAAAATGGCTTATGCCAATCACATCACTGAGATATATAACTTACCCAATGTTATTATCCATCTCCTTCGCTCTTTGGGGCCTTTTTGAAAACTGGAGAATTGGCAGAATTTTTTCTCAGTGCAATGATTACAAGCAGGTATGAAACACACCCATAATGCGACCCTGAAAACCAAAGTTTGGGGTCTTCAACTGCAACAGGTTAGAGTCTAAATAATTTCTCCTTCATTACAATGCACGTCAACTGCAAAATCGAAAAGATTGCCTGATGCTGCCATGGCATTATGTTCTAAACAGATGCTTGTCTCGTATTTTTAGCACATGTCTGTGCTTGTGATAATTATCATCAGAGTGTGTCCAATCTTGCACTCAAATAGAGTTTGTTTTTATATACCCAATAATTTTTCTTAGACCTGCCATGTTCCAAATAAATACAAGATCGGAAATCGCATGATCATGCAAATGATACAAACTGCTGCAGACGGCATAATTCAGTCATTTTGTGCGCATTTGTCATGCATTTGTCGTCTGCAGCAGGCATCTCGAGGACCAGAATTTGCTGTTGAAAATATTTTAGAAACGGCCGATTCTCGCAAACGTCGTTATGGTAAGTGTGAAGTCTAGGCTTCGTATGTCTATTCCTTTTAGACATTTATAAATTTCATGTCCTATTCTTGAACGATGGTTCTTTCCGAGTGAAATCCTGTCCCATGTATTCGTCCATTTCAACGCCTCCTAGCAACGGTCTGTTTGTAGCAGTGACGTCACGCTTACCGGGTCAACTCCTCGCAGAACATTGTGCTCCCTAAACGTCCTTGCAGTGTCCGTGCTCTCCCCCCCCCCCCCCCCCCCCCCCCCCCCCCGTGACTCCCTCCATTTCCTGCGAGGACGGGCGTGCATTTCCCGCACGCCCGTCCTCTTCGGACTGGCGATGCTCTGCCCCCTACAATGCCCCATGGGGCTCTGTGCTCCCTTTCGCTCGTCGTCCGTTCTCCACCCCCGACCTCGCGACTTCCTCGTCTTGCCCGCTCCGCCTCCCCCTGCAGGGCGTGGTGCTGTGCTGCTTCTTCTGGGGCTACGCGCTCACCCAGGTGCTGGGGGGCTACCTGGGCGACCTCTGGGGGGGTGCCAAGGTGGTGCTGGGCTCTGCCCTGGGCTGGTCCCTGCTCACCCTCTACACCCCCCGAGGCCACCCGCTGGAACCTGGCCACCCTGCTGGTGGCGCGCATTCTCCTCGGCGCATTCCAGGGTGGGCGCCCGTGGTGGCTCGGCTGGCGCCACCGTCGTTGCGCCGGGTGTTTGGGAAGAAAGAGAGCCGCATTTCAGATGCGTAGCATTAGTGGGGCTAGCTCTTAAGCTGTGGTCACAGTGCCCATGCATTGTACGGAAGATGCGGTGATCGCTGCATACACAGCGACATATTTACCTGGGTACGGGCCTCGAACATGTCCAAAGCGTCTTTGCTCACTTCAAACATGTCTTAAAAGGTCCCTGCAACGAATTTTAGATGGGTTTTTAATTTGCACCGAACCTGAGCGCACCGAGCATAGTAACTTAGTAAAACTTTTCTTGAAATTCGCTTAAAAGTTATGGGCAAATTAAAATTATAAAATCGAGCGAAAAATAACCTCTTTCGTGACGTCTCCGGTCCTGGGTAGGGTGGCCAATGGTAGAGGCAAAGCGACTGGCCAATCGGCTGCGGCTTTTGTCGATGGCCGCTTCTCCCTCTTCAACGGCTCGTTGCTCACTTCGGACCTCCGCCACGCTTTCTGGCGCGAATTTACCAGGTCTGTCGGAGTCTAAGCTCCGAATCCTCGATAGAAGTGTGGAGCTGAAAGTGGTACCGTACGAGGACACTCCTCGTATGCGTTCGGAGCACTCTGGGAAAGCCTCTCGGCCCCAACTCGACGACGCCCGAGTTCCGGGCGGGCCTCCTGTGGAGGCAAATTCATACTTTCGCTTCTTGCAAGCGTCGTGCGTCGTCTGCTACGATCCGCGGGGGCGCCCGCTCCGGCCTGCACTGCCTCTTCCACCGCTTGGGAGCAGGTATGTCGACGGGTCGTCGCGCGCTGTTTCTTGTTTTAATACTTTCTGAACTGCATTTGTTTCTTTTCTCACCTAAAAGACTGAACAAGTACTACTTTCATAAATACTGTCGAGACCGGTTATAACGAAGTTGGTTATAACGAAATTGTGGCTACAGCGAAGCGATCACGATTTCTCATTTCCGTTAGCACATTTTCAATGTATTTGCATCTGTTTTTAGTGGAGAAAATTGAGTGGCTCCCACAAATATAGTAAAAAAAAATTTGTGATAATTAAAAAAAAAGATTGGAAAGTTTATTAAGTTTCGGACTGCCGCACTTTGCTGCCGTGACCAAGAAGCCACTCAGAACAGGCTGCAGAAGATGCTGGAAAGGCCGCCACTGGCAGTTTCTGCAGTGTTGTCTGCTCCCCGCTCCTTATTTGGGAAGCGGCATCGCACGCGGAGAAGTTGCTGGGGTGTGCGGATATGGGAGTTCAGAGCGCTAGCGACAACGTTCCGGCGGGAATGACGGAGATAGCCTAGATTTAACCCTTTCATGGTCACTGACGTACCGGTACGTCACCGCGGGAGCATCCCGCATGGTTGCTGACGTACCGGTACGTCCGCGACTGCTCATTCAAAAATTCGCGCCTCTGCTTGAACGGGCGCATTTGCGGGGACCTGCTGCCATCTGGTAGGTTTGTAGGGAACTATGAATATATAACTCCGGTCGTGTTTGTTTTGGCGCGGCTTTTTGAAATTGCGAAACTGGACGCTCTGTGCAAGTGATACTTTCGAGATGGCCGCGCGTGCTGGCTGCTCCGGGGGTAGCGCAGTGGAGATTGGAGTGATGGCTCTTCGGGGTCAGACTTTAAACCCTTCTCGGTTTCTGAGTCGGATGACAGCTCGACATCCGACGAACAACTGGAAATTAGCTCGGTTCGGAGTCCGGAGTCTGACACACAGCCGCACCGTCTGCTAGACCGTCTCGGAAGGTGGCGTGTCAAAGTTTTAGTCTTTTTTGTTTTGTTCAGCCTTCAGCGAGTGTGCCGCAGGTGTTTTGAAGTGTGTGTACTGTTTATTTTAAGTCTTACATTTTCTTATGCGACAATAAACTAGTGTATACTCTTTGCTATCGCACCGAGTAAAAAAAACCCGACCACGGGGGCGCGTCTTTGAACAAAAAATGGGACCATGAAAGGGTTAAGAGAGGGAGCAGTAAATACGCCTGCATTTGATTGTCGCATGACCAGTGTGGCGAGGTAACTGGGCGGAGAGGCTGACACGTTTGCAGAAGGTGAATGCTGAGAACCTGTGCTATTTTTGTTTTCATGTTATCTGTACGAGTTTATATATAACAAACAAGCAGATATAGCAAAACGATTTCTGATTCCCGTTGACTTTGTTATAACCGGTCTTGGCAATAATTGAAACAGTTTGCACCCGTTATAATTTGTATTTCGACTAAAACGAAGCTTTCAGTGGCTCTGACGAGTCATAAGGCAAGAGCCGACCGGGACCGGCGACGTCACAAATGCCGTGCAGATTCGGCACCACGGGGCATCCCCGTAGGAGGAGGAGGAGGTTTCCGCGCCATCCAGTCAAAATATGACGCACTGATATTTAGTTGCTCTCTCCGTGCCCGCTGGGTTGCACGAACCACAAGAGATGTGGAAACAGCCAAAAAAGTAGGACATTTAAATAGGATTGCAGGGCCCCTTTAAGACATGTTTTGTTTAGCCAGTATGTCAAACGACTATCATACAAAGAAGAAATGTGCATCATGCAGCGTTGCAGACTGCATGTTGTACGACGTATTAGCAGCTCGCTTTAGGGATTTCGTGTCCGCAGATGGAACCTCGATAGCGTCGTACGACACGACACCGCAATGTCACGGGACGTCGGGTGACATCTTGACGCGACATCTTTGCATCGCCTCGCGTGGCCCTGTCGCCACCTTGCTAGTTTTGAGGCAAAGCGCCGGCCTACGGATCCCCGGGTGGCGGGTTCGTGTCCCGGCCTAGGTGCCCGCAATATTACGGAGGCTCATTGCGGAGTAACCGAGATTTCTGTTGCTTCGAAAGGTCCCTGGGTGGTCCAAATTAATCTTCAGTCCTTTGCCGGGGACTCGCCATGTGTCCTTTGTTGGTTTGGCCCCCAAATTTGACTTTTTTGGTGGTGAGGCGTCAAGCGACATTGCAGTGTCGTGTGACGCCCGACCTTGCAGTGCGCCTCTTCAATGGCCTCCACGCCTGAAAAAGGAGGAACACGGATAAGTGCCACGTATTTAGAACGCCTATTGGAAGAGCAGCGAGACGGCCGCCGTTTTCTCACTGCAGAAATTAACCATGTTGAATTAACCTGAGTCTGGGTAGAGAAGAAACATCAAAACGTAGAAGGGACAGAAAATAGACAGGACGATGTCTCAATTAACTTTGCATTGGCGGGAGTCGATTTCCGCCACGACATAATGCCGGCAATCCAGACCAGACGCGCGGGTGTCCGAGCTCGCTGTTACCAGATTCGTAAGTTAAAGGCAGTTTTCGAAAATTTTCATTCTGAGAACGGTGTCCCGTGAAACCCGACGCATGGAAACGAATGGCGTCGGCTGCTGGAAACAGCCTATTTTTCTTACCGAAAGTTTCTGAAAGTCGGTCGTAACTCTCCAGTTGCATAACAGCAAGCTGTGAAACTTTAGCATCTGGTCCGGGCTGCTGGTACATGTGGTTTATTTTTGCGACGAGAGAAACATTTTTCTGTTTCCCCTCATGCACCCAGTACGTCGGCTCGGTCGTAAATGTTTCGGCAAAATCTCTGCAAAGGAGCTGAGTGACGATGTTGGGTTGGAACATTGAGCACCATAATCTGACATCCCGACAAAAGTGTTACGCCCAAATACTCTTTTGCGGTATCCCTGGGCCAGGGGCTTTCCTGTCATTTTCGAGGATAAAGGGGCCATTTCTTTCGGCCTCCCTTTTACACGGCTCGTAGCCACGGGAATCGCCTCGAAGCGACGGCGGTTGAACGCCACTCGTATATATTGGCGATCATCGCCAATCTACATTTAAAGGTTTGTTGTTTTCCGTATTTACCAATAAACCCTGAAAAGCAACACCCGAACCGGTTCTATCAAAATCTGAGAAAGTCGGGAAACCCTAAATTAGTGCTGTCCTTGTCTACGGTTTTATATTACATTCCCCTCAGAACGTCGCATACACCGAGCTGCAAACAAAACAACTTCTTTGTTTTGGAACCACACCACTGATCTTGCCTTTTTCTCTTATCGGTACCGGGACGCTTTCCAAATATATCGAGGTCACATTCGCATTCCAGTAAGGTTGGCGAACCCCGCGGCCCCGTCCCAACAAACTGATTTTCTTGTCGAACGCTCAAAAGGGACGCCGCAAAGACGCAGACTCCGTGGGAGCAGTTAGACCACGAAGAAACACTCACAAGTTTCAAGAAGAACAAAATACGAAAATGGGGAACCCTATAGTCCGTTGCAACTCAAGAAGGTTGGGCAAGGGTAAGACGGGCCGGGGAGGAGGAAGCAGACGGAACGCTGGAGAAGAGAGGGGGAAACCTCCTCTCTTTAGCGCTTTGTCTGCTTCCTCTTCCCCCGCCCAACTTACCCTTGCCCTTCCTTGAGTTGCAACGGACTATAGTCACGATCGCTACCTTGGCAGACATTTGGGCTGGGGTTCGCATTCGATCGCTGCGGCGACAGAAATTTGCGGCACCCGTGCCGACGAGTCGTGGCGTTTACACAGGGCTCCACTTTCCGGCCATGTCTAGCATCATAGTCAACCACCTGCGGCCACAAGAGCGGACCTTCTTCACGAGCGTCGTGGCGGCCGGTCCGTCGTGCGGGTGAGTGCCGCTACGCCTTTCGGGCGGGATTTTTAATTATTGTCCATTCCTTGCCATGTTCCGTGAAATTAACCACAACGACGACCGAGGCGCCGCACACTCGGCTGCAGACGTGGCGTCGCTTTTTCCCGCCAAATTTGGCAGAGGACTTTCCCCACCGACTTCGTCGACAAAATTTTGCTGCCTTGTTTTCACGGATAAAAGATGGCGGACGAACGTGGAACTGAAAAGGTGGTTAACAAGGCAAACTGGCGCCCACAAACTGAAACTGGAGGTACCGAGTGTCCCGCGTCGTCAACGGAAGGGCAGCCGACCCGAAGCAGCGCATTGCCGGCGCTTTTGCGCACGGTTCATTTGCTGAATGTTCCGAACCGGAACGCTCAATGACGGCCGAGAATGGGCCGAATCTTTCCGGAAGAGTATGGATGAATAAAACACATCCGGGCCCCGCAGGGTTTGTACTCCATTCCTCCGCGCGAATTGCCACGCACGTGGCAGTGCGACGTCGCACCGTCACGTGACATCGTTTGACAAGGACGTCGCACGTTGTGTTTTTCCACTAGATTTGGCAGGGACGTTGCATCGTTGCACGACCTTACCCGGCACCGTGATTCCTAGCTAAATATGGCGGCAACAGTTAGTTGTGCACTAAATTTAGCGGGCCAAAATCCTACACGAAATGCATCTCGGGATCCGCCACGAAGCCGCGCCGTAGCAGGCGTCGCCGTAAAAAGAAATGGGGAACAAGTTACGGTTTCATAATTATTGATACGACGAAATCCACTTCTGTAACGTTTTGTAGTACTGTTAGAAAGCTGTGTGCAAAAAGCATTCAGGAATCGTTTTTATCCGTGGGAAAGTTGAGCAACTGTTGTTTACATGGAGAGAAACACTACTCAGTTTTAGTTTTGTGTTTTTTTTGTCTATTCCAACTTTTTCTTTTCTTTTTTATCTGGCAGAGTGAAGAATGTAGCTTTTCTTTGCAGCCTCCTGTTAATCGGCAGCGTCGGCTCCATGGCGATGGTGTCCCATGGCTGGCCCGTTGTGTTCAAGCTCACAGGTAGCGCACCTGACCCACACTTTACCCCACCTGTTTGGGTGTTTGACTGAAATTGGCAAACCGTACACAAAGGTACTCGAGCAGCGGACAGTGGGCGATGCACTCGGGGTTTGACATTGGGCGCCGTGAGAGCTGGGGCAAGATCGAAATTATCTCGCGCAGAGCTAGCTAAGATGCAGTTTGTCGACAGTTTGTCCGCTGAGGCAAGCGAAGGAGATTTGTTCGCTACAGAGTGTAGTTTGCAGTCGAAAATTAAACTAGAAAATACAGTAAATCATCTGCTAATGAGGCAAAAAAAAAAAAAAAAATGGATTGTTTACAGTAAAACCTTGTTAATTCGGATCTCATGAGACCGGCAAAAATGTCCGAATTATCCGAAAGTCGAAATATTGAAAGGACAAAGAAAGCTGCTCGAAAACGTTGCCCTGTGACATACCTTTATTTTGAGAAGAAATCTGTTATTACCGCCTGCTTTCTGGACGACACTTGGGCAAAGACGGCAACTTTCCTTAGCGCGGTCGAGTGCTCCACCGCACTCGCACTGTCGGAGCTACGCATCCCGTGCACTGACAATGTAGCACAGCAAGGCCTCTTCTAGTTTCGGGTGCACCACCTTCCAAGGCCGCTTTCTTTTCGCGTTGAACTTCTCGCTCTCGAAAGCCCGTAGGATATCGGCCACAATTTTTACGTACGTGGCCAAAGTGCTTCTCTTGACGTCGCAACTTTCCATCACTTGTCGAAAGACGCCGCCCTCCAAGGCCCTCAGTATTTCCACTTTCGTCGCTAAATTCTTAGCCTAGTAGAGCTGCAAGGGAAAACGAGTAGCACAACTGACCAGTAATCGGAGCGGCGAAATCACGACACCCGGCGCTATTTTTCCCGAGCGCCGATAGCGAGAGTGCCAGTCACGTTGCATTTTTCAATGCGGGGGCGGCCGACGAAAAATTGAGGGATAGGATAGTTGTTAAAATGGCAGGCTTTAGGATCCCCGCGTTGAGGCATAAAACGTGACTGTCACTCTCGCTATTGGCACGCTCGGGAACAATAGCCCCGCGTGTCGCGATTTTGCCATTCCGGTCGTCGGTCACTTGTGCTACCCTTTTTTCGTTGCAGCAATGCTTCTGCCGCTTCCTTGCCAGGAGAGTAACGCGCTGAAGCGCGGCGATCCAGAGCAAAACTGGTGCGAAACACAGAGAACCGAAAGAGCGAAGAACCGTGGGAAAACCGGAAAAATCACGTGCGCACTTCGGATGGATAGCGGTCATACCTTTTGGAACAGACGGTAGCTAGCGCCACCTGCCGAATTCGTCCGAATTTATGATAGTGTGCCGCGTCCCCTCCGAATTAATGAGCGTTTGCTGCCATTGACTAATACATACGTTTGACGGGACCGAATCGGCAGTTCAAATTATTCAAATTTCCGAATTAGCGGGGGTTGAATTAACGAGGTTTTACTGTACTACGAACCAAGTTCCACGAGTAAGTGAGATCGAACGCAGGCTGAAGTTGTGGTATTTCGCTTTGTGGACGATTAACGTGTGACGAGAACTTGCAACTAGTTACGTCGAGGGTTGCCTGAGTGTCTGCTCTTTGTAAAAAGCACGGGAACCAATTCGAGGAGTAGCTTCGCATGGAGGCAACAGGTGAAGCACGGCTGTTCGGGCGACTCCATACTATTGTAACTTGAAAAGGCAAAAGCAAACGCTTGTGTGGGGCAGTGCAACGATTTATGGACTTTGGCCAAGTAATTGTGGGAATTAGTCTGCCACTTCTAGAAAAAGAACAGAAAACTACATTTGCTTGCGTGCGCTAGTTTTAATGCAGAAAGAAATTAAACGAAATGAAGTTTGTTGTACCTCTCAACCAGATGAAAAGGCAAAGAGCGCACAGTAAACAGGGACTAAAGGCAGCGCTTGTCCTGTTTGCACTTCCTTTAGTCCCCGTTTACTGTGCGCTGTTTGCCTTTTCGTCAGTATGAACCAACTAACCCACATCGCCACCATTATTCTCTCAACCAGTACCGGGTGGTAATGCATCTCTGTAACTTGATTACCTTTTTGTTAGCGTTTAGGTGTAATGCATTACTTTTCCAAGATGCAACACCTCAGTCACTTGCGAAGCTGAGGTTTTACCGACTGACCTAATCCGCAGCATTAAAGGGATACTTCAACAAAATTTGAAATATATCCGTCGTGTTCAAAAGTAAGTTGAATATGATCCACAATATTTGGAAATGACAATCGCACGTTTGTATTTTGAGCCTGGTGGTAGTATTTTTTGTTATAAACGGCCCACTCTAGCAAGTGCTCAGAGAAGGCCCAGCTTAGAGCACGGGACATCTGACGCAATCGTGACGTAGGTCGTCTCAGGACGGGCAGAGCTACGGCGAGGCTGACGTCGAGGGGATGGCCTAGTCGTTCCAGCCACCGAAGCGGCTGCGTTTGTGCGAATTTTGAGTGACGGGTTCTTTTATAATCTTGTAGGGGGACAATAGTTACTTCTGGAACACACAAAATGGATTCTCGGGAAGAGGGGAGTTCCTCCTTCCCCTCTTCTCTCGTCGTGGCCGGAGGCAAGACACTCACTGTCACTAGCTGTCAAGGTTCCTAGACGAGCATTACAAGCGAGGCGTTAGTGACATCCAGCAGGTGCTCTTTGCTAATCATTTAATTCATATTAAAATTCCTTTTCGTGACTTTTTTAACAAGATATTGGTGTGTTCGATGTGATACTGCTCCTTTGAACACATATAGACCATAAAATAAGCGCCGAAATTTCGTTGTGTATCCCTTAAGAAACCCATCTCAATATAGTGTACGCCCGATGCTTACTGCACGCGCTCTCGAAAAACGAAATGGCGGATAAAAAATGCCATTGTATCAGTGTCAATGCTAAGAGCTCGTGCCAAAGAAAAGCGCTTTCACACGCTCCGGAACAAAAGGAAAAAAAAAAAAAAAGAGCATTTGGAGCGGAGACGAGGAGCTACTCCGTCTCTGGAGGGGGAGCTACATGGCAGCGTCGACGGGCTTGAGCGGAGAGCACGTGCCAAACGCAGGCCAGCGTGCGCTGTACGGAGTACAGAGTATTAAAGGGACACCGACAGGGCGTTTGTGCTCGCCAAGGGTTTTATTTGTACATGACATATGAGAGCCTAACAACCCAGAACACAACTTGCGGCTCGGAATTTGTTTCTTTCTTTTTTTTCCGCCCAAAAGCTGTTGATTGACATCTGGCCGGTTCGAGTTGCGCTCACTCTCTTCTCAGTGGTCACGTGCTGTTTTCTATGGTGTAGGCACAACCACCAAATATAATCAGTCGTGGGTCGTCAAAGGCACACATTCAGTACTAAAAGTAGACAAAAATATTATACACATTTTTTTGGCTTCCAAGAAACTGCAAATACTGCGTTGATTAAAAAAACAAAAACAAGGGTTGCACGGCCAGTCTCTTCTATATTTCTTTCCTCCCCAGTCCAGTTTCAATCTCAGTTTTGAACGGCGTTTTTTTACTTTATTATGTTAGCGCAAAATAAATTGTTTCGTGACCATTGCTATCTGCCTCGTCTCTAGGACATCCCAAATGGCGTTCCCGTTCCTCCAGCTCTCCTCGACCGTACGTTTTATTTCCCCGGTCCCCTGAAAAACGAATCAAGAAGGTTCTACTGTTTGCCGAATTGAAAATCCAGCTCTGAATCTTGAGATTCAACAAAACAGAATTTTCGCCAATCTTTTCTAACGATTCGACAAAGATTCGGCAGAAATACATTGTTACCAGACTTAGTTTTTTCTGGCGGAAAAAAGGTTTTATGTGGTTTTTTTATAACTTCAATGCAACATGTAATGCATATTGGCACAACTACAGTTGCCGACCGTTTTTTCGGACTTTGATAATTTCTTGATAATTCAGACCTAAAGGAGGAACAATAATTTTCCGATATTTCGGACCAGAGGAGGAACCGTGGCTTACCCCGTAGAAGTAGTGCATATTCACAACCAATGTTTCGGACAGCTTGAAGTCCGAAAGTTTGATTATTTGGGCAAAATCGTCGCGAGCAATCGGCGGGAAACATTACCGAGAATTGGCCATTTTGAATTCTATGTTGGCTGCAAATGGATTGGCTTGGTTTGGCAGCGCTACTTGAATACTCCTGAGTCCTATCTTTAGGTGACGTTATGCTAGCCCCTTTTTTTTCCAGTTAGCTGCACGTCATCATCGTCATCATTATTGTCATTTTGCTTTGTTTCCTTCCATCCCTTCGCGCCCCCGCCCCACTTTTGCGTCGCCAATCGTCATTTTGCGCTCGTGGATTTGCGTCTCTCATCTCGTTCGGACAACTTTGCTTGGACGTCATGGCCCCATCTGTTCTTCTGCCGCCGCGATGTGTCGTTAAAGGGACACTGACAGGGTATTTATGCTCGCCGAGGTTTTTAGTTGTACGTGACATATGAGAGCTCAACTACCCAGAACAGAATTTGCGGCTCGAAATTCGGTTTCTTTCCGCCCGAAAACCGCCGATCAAGAACTGGCCGGTTCGAGTCTCGCTCACTCTCTTTTCCGCGGTCACGGGCCGTTTTCTAAGGTATCGATGCGACCACCAAATTTAATCAAAGTCGTGGGTCACTGAAAGCACACACTCAATATTAAAAGTAGAAAAAAATATAAAACCCATTTTTTGTGGCTTCTAAAAAGCTGCAAATACGTTGATTGAAAAAAAAGTTCCACAGACAACCGGAAGCATTCTGTGCGTGCGTCGTTTCGCGTATCGTGGGACTCGCAGGGACGGCGATGGCAGCGGACGACGGGCGTGGGACCTCTATTTCAGAACTGTCGTTCGCGGTACCGGCGAATTTTGTCTGCCTTTAAAAGAGAAATTTGGGACTGGTCAAAAGAATTGGTATTCATCCCGTACGACACGCCCGACCACCAAGCCGATTTGCACGAAGACGTCGCCAAGCCGTCGCTCCCTTCTTGTGGCTGAAGACATCGCTCGCGCAAACGTCAAGCGCGACGTGTCTACTTCGAGTGGAATATGCACGCGTACGATTTCTTTACTAGGTGAGAATGTCGCCAATGCGTGGTGCATCCCGACTTCGACCCGGGAATGCTTTTGCTAGAGGAAAATCGGCAGCAAACTTTCCAACTTACAGTTTATCGGCTGAATTATTACTAAGGAAAAAGATACCCCACTTTCGATATGCCCCAGTAGCTCAGTGGGAAAGACGTCCCCTTCGCACCCGGTAGAGCCGGGTTCGATCCCCCGTAAAACTTTTTTTTTTTTTTTAATATTTTCTGATGTCTACATTTCTTTTTTTTTTTACAATTATTACTGAAGAAACAAAAAAAAAAATAAGAAACAAATGTTGTGGACGACACGTCGCTGAATTAGATGGTATGGGATATCCTTTTTGACACCTGCGAACTCAATGTAATCACTTTCCACAAAATACAAGGAGCATATAAATCAGGTAGCGTCCGCTTTCCGAGGTGCCCGTAAATGGTTTACAGGAATTGCAGCCAGCCATTGGTCCCGATCCCCTTGATCTTTCGGAAACTCTGTCGCACAATGCCACTTCTGTTTCGGACGCGGGACATGTGAGCCAGCTTTTCACGCAACATCTTGGGTGTATTCTTTTCGGAGCCGATCAAAATTCACCATGGGCACTCACTACTCATCTCCAACTCCTCAATGTACAAAACAACTCATTTTGGAGTAGAGAACAACGAGCGGAACATACATAACTGCAAAAGAATCCCACGGCGAGCAGTTCCCAAACACCGCATGTCGTCTGCTACCGGGAAAAAGAAAAAAAAAAAAAAAAAAAAAACACACGGTCGGGTGTAGCCACGTGACTTCCGCCACTCACTCTCTTCTCTCCACTTCTCCGACCTCCGTCGGGTTTCGGTTTCGGTTTCGAGCAGTTGCGCCTTTTGACTTTATTAAAAAAATACGCTACTCTGTTGCAAAATATTAATTGGGTAGTCCTCCGACACCATAATGAAGCGCCTGGCAAAAAATTAAAAAAAAAAATTTGGGGGGTGTCAGTGTCCCTTTAAGAAGCGCAGAAAGTACTCGACCATAACGCTAGAAAAGAAGGCAGCAATTCTCAAGCTAACGGAAAGCTGCCGAACGTAAACGGAGGCGTAACCTAAAACGAGGCACGCAGGCGTAACCTGAAGCAAAGCACTATTTGCGTCTTTTTTAAGCCCACTTGGAAGTAATAAAGGCAAGTTTTTCAATCTGGTGATTTTTCGGACTGCTCTATTATTTGGATGTTTTTTCAATCCCTGCGAAGTCAGAATAGTTGGTCGGCGACTGTATTACTAAATATGGTATATCTAAGGTTCCGCGTTTTAGGTTTTTATGATTTCTAAATTCGGCATACTTTTTTCGGTGTTTATTTTAAAATTCAATTTTCGGGTTTTTTTTCGGTGTATATTTAGGCTTAAAAAAGTTTATTGGCTTCTTTCGATGAATTAAAATAAACACTAACGGACACCGGATCAGACAATCCTTGCACTCTAAAAAATGTCTGTAAGTCTGCTTTCACGCACAACACTCGGAGATCCAATCAGCGCAACTTACGGAGGCAGCTCAGCGAATGACGATGCCGAAACATATGTTTAGACTAAAAAACGCAGTCTGAGTTGTGACATTAAGCAATGCAAAACATCACGCTTGCATTGCTTAATGTCACAACTCAGACTGCGTTTTTTGGTCTAAACATATTTCTCGGCATCGTCATTCGCTGAGCTGCCTCTGTGAGTTGCCGCGATTGGCTCTCCGAGTGGTGTGCGTGAAAGCAGACGCACAGACTTTTTTTTAGAGTGTTTAGCTTTGATATTTGTGATCACTCAAAGAATAACTGCACAGATACATTGAAAAAGAAATCGACACTTTATTTGGCAAGTGTGTGCACCTGTAAAAGAAACAACAACAAAAAGGCGGAAGTACAAACAAGTCAGATATGAACCCTATGCCCAAAACACATGGAGCTTTACCTTCTGTACATCGGGCTTACGTCATCTTATAGTACACACACATGTACTTTCCCAGGTTTTCTTCGTTGATCCACACTTTTTCTTTTTTTGTTAATATGACCCAGAGCTTCGAGAATGCCCTCTCAACGCTAACACTGGACACTGGCAGGCTGAGGAGATGAAGCGCTGCCTGAGCGAAAATCGGCCAATCAACCAGTTGTGACCGCCAAAAGAGACACGGTGCGACGTTTTGAAGCACAACACAACATGCAGAGCTTGCATCCAGTCTTCCTTAGAACGAGTTTGAAAACAGGCTCGTACATGGCAAACCCATGGAGCATTTCAGACTTCACGTTCCGATCGATGATGCGCACATTAAAGCATAACGTCATGATGGCATTCGTGTATCCCATACATTCGGACATGTTTCGGTTGGCACTGTCGTTCCACTTTTTCGCCACGGCTCTGCGGTACGACAGGGAAGGTCAAAGTGACCTTTTCCGGTTAAAACCGAATTTCTGAAAATGGATTCGGCATACTTTTATCGGTTTTTAACGGTTTAAACCGAAAACTCCGAACCCTAGGTATATCCTACCAGATAATTGTATCGGCGTTGGTTTTGTGTGTTTACTGGCAATTTTAGTGACGTCTTGCAGAAATGGCATGACAACGAGGTGGGGTAGTAGTGAGCACAGTCACGAATCACGCTATGAGAGCTTCAGTTTTCAGGCTGAGCTTTCACCAAAAGAGATAACAATATTATTGTAAATATGCATGTTTTTCGATTTGAGTCACTTGGCGTAAGCTTTGCATTAAAGTGCGTGTCCCATATTCGCAACATCTCGTTTTTAACCTTTAAAATGCTGGTTGTGGGTGTTAGGACACACACAGACCTTTAGGAAGATGGGAAGAGTTAGGGATGTCGGATATGCAACGTCGAGTATGATAGTTCTGTTTTGCTTTATGCAGATACATGATAATCGCGAAATAATGCAAATTAAAAAGCCAATATTATTTTTGCACAAACTACTTGTGAGCCGAAAACAGAGTTGTTATAATTGAGAGGAGTGCTTTAAAGTAATTGTCAGTCAATGTTTCAACTACCTCGTTACATCACTGGAAAGGTCAAATGAAGACCACATTATTTAGCATGTACCGCATCATTTGTCACTTCTGCAGTGGACTGCGTAAATTACTGATCTATCTTCTGTTCTTGAGGCAGAAAATAGTATTGAAGATAACCACACTCGCGAAGGCTTACGAGGAGACAGTAACTGCGTTGCCTACTCCACTCCTTGCCGTAACTGCTGGTTGTACTACGCTGTACAATGGTAACCGCACGACCGCAGAGCTTCCATTTGCAATCCATGACCCCGTTGCGTTCTCGCGTGTGTGCAGACATGTGCTGAATTTTTGCCAAAACTTTGCTGAACCTTCCTTCTAAAGTTTGGCATGTGCCCAACTTTGTCCATCAATTGTGTTCTGCTACGACCGAATGCCAAGCGAGGGAACGAGGTTTGTCTCTCAATCTAATCGGTGGAACGGGGCCTTTGTAGGGAGACGTAGCCTGCAGCATAGCACTGCAGAAACGCAGCCCCGTTATGACGCAGAACATGTGTTGAGAGTCATTTTCTGTGAAAAAATTGTCACGAACGAGCGTTACAGCGAGCGTCATCAACGTGTGTCATAGCAAGCATCGTGAATGAGAGACATCCTTCCCGGGAGCGTTGCAGACACTAAGGTTATGTATAAAGCTTATATAAAAAGTTTGAGCCCCGGCGGGGCTCGAACCTGGGTCAGTGGAGTGGCAGTCGGATAGTATAGGCACTGAGCTACTAGCACCGAGCTAGCACAGCTGTTCTTGAAGAGTCAATAATTTTATCCTAATGCAAACATGCTTGCTTTGGATGAGAATAATACGATAAAATAGACAAAAATAAAACAACAAAAATAATAAAATTATTAGAAATAAATAAAGTAATGCAATAAAGTGCTTGAAGAGAAAAAAAGTAGAAATAAAAATCATGAAAAATCCAGCACAAATGACGCATGGAGTGTGGTTTGTGTGGGACAGATTCTGCTCTCCCTGGTCTTTGTTGGCACGATTGAGCTTGTGTATTAAGGTAACTGTGACAAGTTACTTTTGGCTCAGAACGCTCCGAATCTGTTCCACAGCCCAGTGGACGAAGGTGGGGGCCGAAGGCGGTCGTCAGTATAGCGTATAGGGACGTGTCCCAGTGCAAGCTCGAATTCCCCCTTTGCGCAGGGATGCTGGGCATCGGCTGGTGCTTCGGGCTGGCCTACCTGATGCACCGGCACGGGAGCAAGCCCGGCAAGGCCTCGAAGGTGGCCCCCAAAGTCGCCTCGGCCCCGGCGTTCCGGGTACCCTGGATCGCATACTTCCGCAGCCCTTCCTTCTGGTGAGCATGGTGAAGGGGCCGTGGTCTCCTCCAAAAGAGAGAGCGCCCACAGATGAGTCGTCGTGCCAGCACAGGGTTTCGAATGCCACTCCTTTGGCGACTGAACCACATGAAGTGCTATACAGTAACTGATGTTTACAGACAAATTGAAGCGCCTCTCGCGGACGCCACCGGCGCCGCGCATGCGCGATGGGGGTGTGGGCAAGAAGCTTGCCGTCGCCCATAAACAAACCATTGAAATGCGATGTTGCCGGCATCGGTGTGAGTCCCCCTGCCCTTTTTCACGTTCGAATTGTTGATTCTACGTCTTCCTGGCGATGTCTGACTACTTGAGCAGCGCCAGTCAAATTACCGAGGCTCGTTACACCGCAAAACTTCGCGTGAATAATGTGACATGTGGCGATTCATTCCGCGTGGCCACTGCGGTATGTACGCTAAAGCCTGATTCGCATGATGCAATTTCGCTCGCAATTTTCAGTCACGACGCCGCTCGGGCTGCAAAAACGTCAACCGTAGCTGAGATAGTCGACATCGATACTGAAAATCGCAAGCAGAATCTGACCAAGTGAATTAGGGATAACAAGTTGCTGATGGTCACTGGTAACAATGATAAACATCTTTTTGTATCTACTGTTTACATCGAGCCAGCTTACCAACCTCCAAATTTAAGTCTTTTGAGGCCTCCACTTACTTCTTATCACAAGTACCGGGCCAACATTTGGTCCACAGGCCGGCGTCGTCTAAGACAGCAGACGACAAGCAGAAACGATTGAAAGAGCAGACGACAGTTCGAACGATCAGGCGGCCGTTTGAACTTGAAGACACACTGAACGTAGTCCGGAGGTTGCCCGCACAAGTTCACGGTTTTCTGGCGTTCATGTTGGAACAAAACAAATAAATCTGATGAACACAAGTATCCGCAAATTCAGCCCGAAGTGCTTCCCGCCCAAGCAATCTTCTGTCGGTGTCTGCTTTTCCCTTTTCACGGCACATATCCAGATTTTTAAACGAACCGAGCATGTGAAAACTGACCTTCAAACCTTTCTCGACACTTTTGGTACGGCCCCAGTCGCGGCGTTTTGATGAGAAGGCAGGTTTTTGCCTGGTTCCTTTCAAAACAACGCAGGAATACACGTCTGGCATGGGGACTTCTGCCCACAGCCCCAGACCGGAAGTTCGACCGACGCGCCACCACCGCGCCGAGTTTGTGTATACTTGGCATCAACCTTTTGTATGCGACATTGTTAAAGGGATGCTCAACCCAACTTCCCCCCCCCCCCCCCCCCCCCCCCCCCAGAAAAGGACATCTACGTCACAAACTATAGACCTTTCCAGCGGCAGTCTCGAACGAAGCGATTTACAGCGGACGTCGCTGGTTTTGAGAGGGTAGGTCAGTGTTGCCCGACTGCGCTGAGCTGTGGGTTTTCTAGTCAGTAGGCTCTGGCAACCTGCTTAGGCGCAATTCCGGGCGCTGGTGGAGGCTAAGTTGCTGCGTTCTGTTTTTTATTTCGTGTTCTATGACGAATAGAATTTCTCGGGGTTTTTAAAAATGCACTGTGCTATTTTTGGGAACAAAAACGAAGAAATGAAAGCTGTTTTGGTGTGTTCGTGCGCGACAAAACAAATGCAACTGGAAAATTTGTTTCATTTTATGTTGATCTTTTTACGGCACCGTACACTCAGCCGTGTCAATTTACAAAGGTCTTAGCCGTCGAAAATATTTGACCACACAGGATATCTGAACTGCATGGATATTCCCCGCCCACAACATGAAATTCAACGAGTATGATCAATCGAACAACATATATTGTACGTACCCCACGGTGCCGCGTTATCCGAACAGGATTTAAGAAAGGTCTCAACGACGATAGTCACCTCACGACAATCGGACGGAATCCGGTGTGTTTTGGGGAACATCTAGAAGAGAGCTGCTTTTTTGCACAGCTTCAAAGCAAATGAACGAACGTGTCTATTCCGTCCCCCCACCCCGGAACCGACCCTATCAGCTATTTTTTCGCGAAGACCCGGACCATAGCCGGGAAGGCTTTTTGGAGATTATCTCAACAGAAATAATCCCCCAAGAACGTCGAACTGCCTGTGTCACGGGCTGCTTGACATTCGCTCTCTTCATTCGTTTCCTGCGAAGGCCGAGCAGGTTACGAGCCCTGCCTTTCCCTGGTTCTCACAGTGGAAGATAACATACAAAGGGTAAGCATCCTACACAGGCAAATAAAGTAAAAACTTCCAAGAAAAGCCGGCGAACTCCGAATGCACAATGCAGGTGGGGAGTCACGCTGACCGGGTTTCCACAGCTCAGGCGGGTGCCAGATATTTTTGGCTGATAGGGGTCGCTCGAGTCGCAAAATGGCGGCGGCCAGAACGCTCTTTTTGGAAAGGTCTATACTTTCTCCACAAGAAAACATGTACAGGGTGTCACAGAAGAAAATTTACACGCTAAAATGGCTTGCAAAAATCAAAAACTGGACGGATCTTGTTGCAACTTTCCTCAAAAATGTCTTTAACTGGTCACATTGTTGTGCTAAAATTTCAAGTCGGAACTCCGAGTACAAAGAAAATAAAAAAATGATAACTGATTTTTTCAACGGCGGAGCGGCAGCTGTCGGGGAGGCACCGAACGACGGCCATGTTTCTTTGCCTTATCCAGAGATGGCGCTACGGATTCACTGGACGCTGAATGAACGGAAAAGCGCGCTTTTATCCGAGTTTTTGGTTGCGTGGAATATTTGCCAAAATAAAGTTGTTTGGGTTTTCAGTTAAGTTTCACTGTGCAGAAAGTGTCATGCCATAAATACCAATAAATAAAACCTCCAATGCCTGCTGCAGAAATGACGTACCTTCGTCTCCGACGGTTCTTGTTTCGTGCATCGTCTGTTCCGCTAATCCGCGTAGAATCCTCAGTCATCTCCAAAAATAGTTGCCCGGGTTGGGGTGAGAAACGGGTCAGTCGCGTTTGTTTCTTTGCCTTGGTGCGGTTGTGAAAAAAAGGAAGCTCTCCCCGAAAAATGCCCCAAACGAAGTCATCTCGGATTCCGTCCGATCGTCAAGATGTGACTGTCGTCGACTCTGACTGTGTTATTTGAGATCTTTCTCAAATAAATTCTTTTTGGATAACGCTGCATCGTGTGGTATGTACGATATAGTTTTCTAATGTTACCACTTCCTCAATTGTATGTCCGTGTCCTGTCCATCTGTAAACACGTTATTTGTGAGCGTGAAAAATGCATGCCTTTCGGCCGTCTTCTGTTGCAATTTATTTTTGACAGCAAAGCGCTTTGTCGCTTCACATGCGGCGAATCCCGCGGCGTCGTCAAAACTGATCGTAAGAAAAAACAAATAACTCGCTCGTTCTGTCGCGCGCGTACCCAACAAAAACAGTTTACAGTTGTTTTTTTTTTTTTTTTTTTTTTTTTTAGTGTGACACAATGTTTTCTCAATGCCCTCGGGAAAATACATGTACAATGAAACACAAAATATTGCGGGAAAAAACGAGAATTTAGCCGCCAGCAGCGTTTGAAACTGCGCCTACGCAGGCTGCGCCTATTGAAATCACAGTCCACTCGGTTAGGATTAGGAGGGACGAAGGTGAGAGTCTAGCCTCAAACTCAGTGACTGGGCTCGAAAACGGATTGTGGTCCCTGGGGTCGAGTGTTTTTTGGAAAGGTGTATAGTGCGGTTTTTGGCACAGCCCGCCGACCGCGCCGACGACCGGAGCAGCGAGCACGCTTCCCTGTGCGACACTAGATAACAGCGCTGACGGCGCGGGGCGAGGATGTTGCTCGAAGAAGTGGGGAGAAGCGAAGAGAGAGGCTTCAGTCGCCGTAGCGACAGAGGGACGCACGCACGTGTCGTTCACGTGCGTGCGTCCCTCCGCTGCGTTGGAAACAAAGAAACAAACAACCGCACCGACAGACCAATCGCAGATCGAGGAGAAGTGTTCGCGCGCGTTGCGTGCCGGTCGCGGGCCGGCTGCTTCTCCGCAAACATGGTGTCGGTTGTGATCGTCGTCGTAGACGGAGTTCATCTCATCGTTCTGCGTAAAAGCGCTATCCTTGACTGTGAATTTTCGTTGTGTGTCGCTATGATAACCCAGCACGTACTAGAAGGGAAGATTCACCTACTCGTGCGGCGATGTCGTGGCGGCGCTCTCAAGACGGCAGGAACGCCTGTGTCGTCGTGTTTGTTTACTTCGACAACAGTACATCGCCCGGATTTCTTATTTGGCGCATTTCATGCGTGTGCTCAAGTTCAAGGTATTACTGGCGCATACCGTATGAAGGATGCGAATTTTCACGCGTTTTCATCTCCGGAGAAAAGTGATTAGGGTTAGCAATCCTGAACGCTCGCAACGTCCGTCCGCAACCCGCGAAGCCGTTAAAAGGCTCCGCCAGGCAAAAGTCGCTCATTTCTTTCAAAATGTGTGACAGACTTGAGAGAAAAGTGTACTAGTCTGGTGAAATAAAGACTTTCCTCAAACTAAGCTTTATTTTTCATCTAACATAAAATAAATTCTTTTACAAAGGTAAGTTGTCTCATAGCATGTATTTTGGCCTGAAAAATTGATGTTTTGGTTATAACGCGGTACCGCTTATAGTGCGGATTTTCGCGACTCCCGCGACATACGTTATATGCGGTCTACACTGTATCATTTTTTTATTTTCTTTGTACTCGGAGTTCCGACTTGAAATTTTAGCACAACAATGTGACCAGTTAAAGACATTTTTGAGGAAAGTTGCAACAAGATCCGTCCAGTTTTTGATTTTTGCGAGCCATTTTAGCGTGTAAATTTTCTTTTGTGACACCCTGTATGTGCAATATTTGCACCATGAAGCTTATTTGCAAGCTGTCCCGAAATAGAATCGGAGGGTTTCATATTGCTCCTAACTCGAAATGAGTCCAGTAAATATTTTGTTTCAAGGGAGGGGAGGGGAGGAGAGGGGTGTTATGACGCATTATAATCCGTTGCAACTCCAGAAGGTAGG